TAAGGCCTTTATCAGGAAGTGAAATTGGTTAGGCTTTTATGCTTAGTAAGAAAATTAAAGTTATCTTTAATATAGTTTTAGATTAGTAGTACCAGCCCCCCTAGACAAGTAGCACTTTTTGATCGAATCAAAAATTGGATACGTTATAACTTCATATAGAAAAAAGAGGGCTTATCGACCATCCTTCGACTGGTTTGCGATTTTAAAGTGAATTTTGTCTAGATCCACAGGGCATAAAGGTAGTAGAAGAGTAGATAAACGATTTAGTCTTGCAAATAAATCTTGCTGTCGAGCTTCAAGAGGTAAGTATATAGCTACGACTGTTTTCCTTAGGCCATTAGTTTAACAACCAAGGCCAGGTTATTTTATAAGTTTTTAAAGTGGATTTTTGCCAGGTATGTTAAAGGAACGATACCTTATTACCCCCAACTCAACAGACTAAAAAATTACATGTTACCTGATCCTGACGTGGAGGTCACCATGTGGTAAGAACATGGTGGAGATTCTGTATTTTGAGGGTCGGCCTCGAGCCCTGCTAAGAAAAGCCAGAAAGGTCACTTCGAGGTGCTAAGCAGGTACCTTTTGCTGTGGTGAGAAACGGGACAGCAAAGATTTAGCCTAGTTTACCACCATAGCCACCCTGGCTGAAGTCGTTGCAAAGGCTGCTGGTGAATCTCTGTGAGGTCTCTAGATATCCAGTTTCCCGAACTTTTGGAATATTTACCTTTGGATCTGAACCCAGGAGATGCCACTAAGTAGGTTGTTTTCCCCGTAAATCGACCTAGATCGTCAGATAAGTTTGATTGAATCGACCTGGGATATAATATTTTGCGCTGTCAGAACTATTTTTACCCGACTGAACCGGAAGGAGGTGATGTTTTTCAAGTTGAAAAGTTAGAGAGACAGTTCCAATAGAAGCTCTGAATGTGCCCCTTCCTCCCTTAGTTTCGAGTATAGGCTATGCTTTTATTGTCCGATAGCAAAATTAGTGAACGCACATGAAATGAATGAAAGAATGAGAAATCCCCCATCGCTGATTATGATTTCTGATAATATCAGTATTATTTTGTAGACATCCAGATGGTTGTTAAGAGATGCTGAGCTGGAGTCTTGTGTATTGGATCGGTTGTGTGGGGTCGAGTTGTGATGAGCCCTCACTGGAGATCAAGCTTACCTATAGGCACTTGTTGAGTCGTATAGATTTCGTATTTACCGACGGAACCCTTAGAGATGACGACTTGTTGAACCCGAGTTCACGTAATTGACAAGGTTTAAAGTGTTCCAGAAGATAAAATGTTATACACAAACCTTCCGTTCTAGTAGTTGCTGTCTCGTCTGGTTTGTCAAAGGTGACGAGGTTTAGTAAGTAGTTTGTGATTGTATCAATGTTTTTCGGTATGCAGTAGAGAACGAGATATTGATAATTTTAGGGTACCTTGACAAGACATGCGGAGAGGCCGGCGGTGTCTCTGTGATCGGTATCTGCATCCAGATTTAGAATTTAGGNATAATAAATGTATTATTATGTATTATCAGCTGACTTTTGCTAGGAGGCCGCATATCGAAGAAACAGAGCAATGTTCATTTATTTATCATTTTTTGCACAATGTATTATTAGCATCATACAAAACATGCATCATAAATAAAATAAATTGTATCCTGTAAGGGTATAGCAAAATTAACTACACATACAAAAAAATGCTTAAAAAATCAATCAGCCCCGCAGTGGGTCTAGACAAAGTGCAAATTATAATCGCAAACCAGTCGAAAAGCCCATTTTTTGTAAAGAGTTTTGACGGATTTGTTTTTCGATTCGTTCAAAAAGTGCATTTTGTCTAGGGGGGCAGGCCGCAGGACCCCGGGATTAATAATCATGTCTATTTTGGTATTTTTTTACACAGCGTAAGTGTACACCGACCCTTACAATTAATCAATGAAATCAGCGAATCTGTGCGACGCGTGGTGATTTTGACAGATCAAAGATATAACATAGATGGATAGGGCGCGTTAGACCTTTGCGTGCTTTTGAACGTAATTTGTTTATAATATTTTCAAGTAATCAAATATTCTAAGTATAGATGACCCACGCTGAACTGTCCCGCCAAACTTAATGACAGGGGGGCGCTACCATCGTTCAACTATATGGTTTCCAACATGGCAAAAATCGGAACCAGCGATCCGGTATTGACGGTGGCGCCCCACTGTCAATGTCATCGACAGGACAATCCAGTATTTTGGAACTATATCTCTCATATACCAATAACTATGATACCAATACGACATATTATTTTATTTTTATAGTTCGTTACATAAAAAGTTTCTATACTTTTCTGACAAAAAAAAAATTTTGCAACTGGGTAGGGTTTCCATGTATTCGGATTAATCCGGACATGATCGGATTTTTAATAATAGATAACGGTCGGACTTCGTCAGTTTTTTTCAATTAAGTGAGTATTAAAACTAAATCGCGATGTATCCATTAATGAAATGTAATTAGGCTTTTTGTCAGGGGACTTTTCAAATAATAAATCTTGTTTGGAATACATACTTTTTCTTTTATTTACTTATGGAAGTAATGCCACATGCAGTCAATTGTAAGTTACAACTTTTAATTTTACCCTCAGCAGACTTCATTTTTGTAACTGTTAAGTGTGAACAAATGTGTTTTCCATCACACAAAATTGGTTGAGATTTATCTAATAATAAAATTACAGATGGAACATGGCGCCAGTAATTCCCTAGGCAGCGATTTCTTTTTTCTATGTAGGCTGTTTCTCTGTACAGAGTTGTTGATTGTTCCTTGTATTCTGAAATGTTAAAATAAATTCATTGTTAACTCACAAAAAATATTATACCTACAAAGTATTATAATAAGGACTTGAGCTTGACAATAATAATAATAATAATAAATTATCATTATTAGACATTACCATCCCGCATGACGAAAACCTCGTGAAGGCCGAGAAGGAAAAGCAAAGCAAATACCTTGACTTGGCCCACGAGGTGACCGCCATGTGGGATGTTGACTCGACGATCATTGTCCCGATAGTTGTCTCGGCAAACGGGCTAATAGCGAAGAGCTTCGACCAACATCTAAAGAAGCTCTCGCTGGATGGTTGGCTCAAGGGTCAGATGCAAAAGGCGGTGATCCTCAGCACGGCACGCATTGTCCGGAGGTTCCTCAGCCTGTGACCCTGACCACCGGTAGCTTGGGCCCTGCTCCGCTACCAGCGGAATAACTATTTTTAAGTATTTTTTTATAATGTATTTTTATTTATTTTTTTTGATAATTTACATTGTAAAAAAATATTTAAAATTAAGAACCAAAGTTAATAAAGAGAATAATAATAAATCTTTGAACAATTTCACACAGCGCCAGCTAGCCCCAAAGTAAGCAACTCAATGCTTGTGTTATGGGTGCTAGCTTAACGGATATACTACTTATATACTTTTTTTTTTTTATTAAATACATACATATTATACATATTTACACCCAGACCCGTCACAGAAATTAAAATTCATCATTTCAATTTCTGCCCGGCCGGGAATCGAACCCGGGACCTCTCGGCATAGTAGTCCGTTCTGAACCACTACACCAAACGGCCGACAATGTTTTAAAACAGGAGAACATTTACCATGTTCTATATAAAGTGGTCTTAATATTTTTTGATAATAATGAAGTGAAAGAGTTTATTAGTCTACCTTCATCCAAGTCTGAGACATCTTGATCCACCCATCTTGTCTGTAAATTTATGCAGACAATACCAAGTTCCATGTCATTCGAAATAAATCTACAGTAATTTACAAAAGTATTCAACAATGCCAAACCTGTAAAAAAGATGAAGAGATGTTAAAAGAAGTACAATGAAGATAAATAAATAAGAGATTTCGTTAAAACATGAATGGCTCACCAATTTTATTTTCATCACCAAGATACTGAAACATCAGGCAAGGCAAAGAATCAACAATAATCAAGGATAGATTATCAAAAACTATTGAATTATTTTTGATCTTCTGTAATATTTCAATAATTTCATCCATTGTCCATACATGTATTATTTTTATTTTGTACATTACTAATGCCATTTCCTGAAAAAACATAATTTAGAAAAGATTATAATTACAAATATTAAAATTTATTTTAAAATATTATTATATTCGATCAGAATCTGTTTGTACCTTATGATTCAGACCTTCGGCTTCTAATATTTTTTGTATTCTGATTGCAGAAAAATCACCTTTTGTATCTAGATAAAGAACTGTACCATTTATGTGTTTTACACAGTTAATAGCAAGTTGGAAACATAGCTGTGTTTTGCCCGAGTCTGCAAGGCCAAACAGCTCTGTTATGTGTCCCACAGGAATACCTCCGTTGAGGATGAGATCTAAACTGAAAATAAACCCAAGTTATAATAAAATAAAATAAAATAAAGTATCTAGCTATAATTTGAATTTACACCTAACAAAAATAAGTGCGGCGAACCTTTCTATGCCAGTCTGTACAAAGTTTTTTTTCGTCTTAATTCTTTTAAGCAGAGTAGCTCCATTGATCAAAGGTGCTGAGTATTTGTTAAATATATGACTACGTAAAGTAATGATGTCTGGTAAACTTAATTTTGTTAAAGTTGAAAGTTTTTCAATGTCTTCTTGAAGAAAATCTAAAATAGTGATAATGCGACCTTGCGTTAAAAGTTTTAGGACACTATCAGTTAGAGTAGCATGTTTAACTGCTTTAAGTTTTTGCATTTTGCTTTTAAACTATAATCTGACATGCAAAAGAAATAAAAGTTTTTGTTTACAAAAAATTAAACTTCCACAACATTTGACAATGCAATGACACAAATGACAGTTAAGTTTCGAAAAAAAAAATACACTGGTTAGTGATGTGATCAATTTGAAAAATGAGCTCAATGTGTGACGAGAATTATCTTTGGTAGCTTTGTTTGGTCACTGCTTTGGTGGTGTATCCGAAATCCTAGAGCCATAGACAAAATAGAAAGAAACAATATTTCCGACGCCCGCCATTCGTGTTTGCTGTCAAAAGCACTAATGTCGTGAATAAACTTTTGTTCGTTGAGGCGTAATTATCTAGATTATTGATATTAGTTAGGTTTATTATTACTATACACAATGTCTAATATATCTCTTGATAAGGAGACATTTTACCGCCGTATGAAAAGGCTCTATGCAGCGTGGAAGGTAATCCACTTTCAAAGTGTTTCCTCGGCCACATTTTGAATGATTTAACCACGAAATATGTATTTTACAGGCAGCTGCAGCAGATCCAAAGAGCGATGATGCCTTGGCGAAAGTTGATTGCCTGGTTTCATGTGTCGGAGTTGATGAAGATACCTTGTACAGTAAATCAACAGCTCTACAGGTTTGTTTTTTTGTTATGCCGAAGTTATCTTCAATAGGTACTGTGTAAGCTTTCCTGAGGTCAATAATGTAAGCAATAGACATGTTATCTTCTAAATACTGCTAGCTTTCTCATACATAATGAAATATCTAAGTGTTTTTGGGGTTATAACATGGCTACAAACAGACAATAATCTAATTAATTACCTACACATGTGACAGACATTATTTGTACTGAAAATTAATGAAATGTATTAATACATTCAAGAAAATATATTTATAGAAATGACTAATTTTAATGTATTTTTCTTACCTTTTTTTCAGACCTGGTTGTTTGGTTATGAGCTTCCCGATACAATCACAGTGCTCACAGAGCACAGCATGAGTTTCCTCGCCAGCAAAAAGAAAATAGAATTTCTTCGACAAATTGAAAATGGAAAAGATGAGTCTGAACTGCCCCCAGTTAAACTACTTATTCGAGATAGGGTGAGTACTAATTGCCATTATTATAATTGTCATCTTTAAGGTTTAAAAACATGTTATTTTATGGTCTCATCTTCAGTTGACTACTTGCATAACATTGTCCAGCATAGAAAATGTGATAAACATGCTCTTGAGGCATCTAAAAGTAGGGTTACTTTCTACGACTAGATTCATCAAACAAAAAACATTTGGATTGTACAACATTGTGCAACTGTTATTTATAAATATATCCTGTCAGTCCTAGAATCAACAACCAAATAGATATAGTTTTCTTTAATAAAAGATGTCTGGCACCAAGCTTGTGACTTGTAGATATAAATAAATTTTTATTTATTTTCTATTTTAGAATGATAAGGACAAAGAAAACTTTAATAAACTTATACAAGAGATTAAGAAATCAAAATCAGGCAAAAACCTTGGTGTATTTGCCAAAGACAATTATCCTGGTGAATTCTGCGAAAGTTGGAAAGCCGCTATGAAGGCAGAGAAGTTTGAAAATGTCGACATCAGCTCATCTATAGCTTTACTCATGGCGCCCAAGGAAGACCCGGAAGTTATCACAGTTAAAAAAGCATGCTTGGTCACAGTTGACGTATTCACAAAGTACTTGAAAGATCAAATCATGGAAATTATTGATTCAGATAAGGTAAGTACAGGCTTTTCTAGTTTGTTTTGGAAATGGATATTGCAGGTGCAGTAATTTTTCTCAACTTTTACAGAAAGTAAAACACTCAAAACTAGCAGAAGGTGTAGAAGCAGCGATATCAGACAAAAAATATGTGACAGGAGTGGACACCAGCCAAGTTGACATGTGCTATCCACCGATCATACAGTCTGGTGGCAACTACAGTCTCAAGTTCAGTGCTGTGTCAGACAAAAACCACTTACACTTTGGGGCAATTGTATGCTCCTTAGGTGCCAGATATAAGTCGTACTGCTCAAACATTGTCCGTACATTACTGGTCAACCCTACAGATGAGGTGCAAAGTAATTACAATTTTCTATTGAATGTGGAGGAAGAAGTGATGAAACATCTTGTTGCTGGTGCTAAACTGTCGTCAGTGTATGAAGCAGGCTTAGAATTAGCAAAAAAAGAAAAGCCTGATTTGGTGGATAACTTAACTAAAACTTTTGGGTAAGTTTTCTTGTACAACATTTTTAAATTAAAACTTTATTATTATAATAAACTTTATTATTAATTATAAACTTTGCAGGTTTGCAATGGGTATAGAATTTCGAGAGAGCTCTATAGTTATTGGACCAAAAACTTCAGTGGTAGCCAAAAAAGGCATGGTGTTCAATATCAACATTGGCCTAGCCAATTTGACAAATAGTGCAGCCACTGAGAAGGAAGGAAAGGTGAGAATCAGAACAATAATCTTCTGTCTTCTCAAATGGCTATATTATATTGCTAGATGAGTCACACCATAGTTATTTTCAGACATACGCACTGTTTATTGGTGATACAGTATTGGTAAATGAGGAGCAACCTGCTTCTCTCCTCACACAGTCCAAGAAGAAAATCAAGAACATTGGTATCTTCTTGAAGGACGACGACGAAGAAGAAGAGGAGGAAAAAGAAAATAAGACTGAAATTCTTGGTGAGTGTTTGAGGAAAATCAACATTTTGTTAAAGAGATAAAGTTTAGTTTTGCTTTTCTAAATTAAACGCCTTGTGCGCTTGTATATTTTGCCTATTTTGTAACTTCAAAATGAGGTGTGACACTCATTCTGCTATTGATAATTGCAGTCAATCCTGCTAGCAATAAGGGTAATTATCAATTGTCCTGTAATCTAAAAATCCTGTAATACAGGTATACTAAATACCTAGCATAGGCATCAGACTCACACAAGAATAAACATCAAACGTATCTTATACATTCACTATGTAATTCTGTTCGATTTTTTGTGTGAGTAAAATAAAGATTTATGTATTATTTATTATTAATTAACCATGATTCATCATGTGATTAAGGTGTTTCATGTTGAGACAATCTGACAATCTGTGTTTTTAATACTTATGTATTTGAAATAATAAGCTTTCCTTCAGCAAGCTAGTAAAGATTCTTCTCTTATTCATTAGCAGAAGCAGGAATTTTAAACTATTTCTTGAGTTTTAGGCCATGTAATAACTGCTCAGTAATAATATTTAATGAAACTGTGTTTTATATTTATGCATTCTTATTTACTTACATGCAATCATGGATGGATAGAAAATGGAGGTGAGTTGGAATGTTTTACTCAAAATGAGCACTAATTGCATGTCAAGTTGATTCCTGTGTTAAAAACTGAAACAATAGCTATTAGTAGTAATTAAGTTTAATTAGTTATAAAAAGGCCTTTCTTATCATTTGGTATTATTTCATTCAAATAACAGATGTATTTATTGATGAAAGAAAGGTCTTTTCATTGCTAATTAATAGATTTAGAATGATAGCATAAATTTTAGCCCCCATAAGAATATCACTTTAGTAGACCCTGAGTGTGGTAACATTTGATTCTTCATGTAGAAGTATTTTGACCAATTCTAAATTAAATTTGTGATAAAATTACAAAAGTGACTTGATAGTTAGTTCTTTGGTAGCAGTATTTTAAAAGTAATATTCACACAGTTATTACAACAGTAAATTGCATGCACAAACCCAACTGAATGCCAAAAAGCATTAAGTTGACGGAGTCGTATAATACTGGAGCGATTTCAGGCAGAGGCAAACGGACAGCGGTAATAGAGTCCAAACTCCGTACGGAACACTCTTCCGAAGAGAAGCGTAAGGAGCACCAGAGGGAGTTGGCGATAGCGCTGAATGAGAAAGCTAAAGAACGTTTGGCGAAGCAGTCCAGTGGCAAAGAGGGAGAGAAGATACGAAAGAGTACTGTTTCGTACAAGAGCGTCAGCCAGATGCCCCGCGAGAATGAGGTTAAGGAACTCAAGCTTTATGTTGGTAAGTATACCTCAATAAGTTCTAATAGTTTTTATGACTTAAAGTACTCTAAAACTACAACAACATCGTAATTTAGTTGTTTTGCTTTAACAGCTCTTGAGAAAGTTTTTTCTTCATCACCGAGTAGCAGAGGAGGACTATTGTGACCTTTTTATATTGACGCTCTAATAAAAGAAATTGAGAGAGAAAACTTACAGTAGTTCCATTCCACTGTCAAATATCCAGAACCTTTGAATAAGGCCGGGTTCCCACTATGCCGGACCGGCAGATCTCCCGGTCCGGTAAAATCGCCGGAAGGCCTAGCGGCGGTACAAATTGTATGAAGCTGTTCACATTATCCCGGATCCGGCTTTTTCGCCGAGCCCGGCATTTTTACCGAGCGTTTTGTCGCTACAAAATGCCGGCAAAATAACCGGACCGGAGTAATGTGAACGAGTTGCGGCCCACCCCGCCGCGCTCGTGCTTCCCGCCCCGCCCCGCCCGTGCTCCCCGCACTTCATTCGGCTCGGATTTCGGATCCGGTCATCCGGTGTAATGTGAACACCGTTGTCCGGTGTCCGGTTTCCGGCAGAAATGCCGGTCCGGCATAGTGGGAACCCGGCCTAAGATTAATTTTATTAAATATTTGCTAGAAAGAACTAGGAACTTTTTCTAATTACTTATCATATTTGTAGATCGTAAATACGAGACAGTAATCCTGCCGATATTCGGCGTGCCCGTACCATTCCACATTTCGACCATCAAGAACATCTCTCAGTCGGTGGAGGGCGACTATACGTACCTTCGGATAAACTTCTTCCACCCTGGCGCTACTATGGGCAGGAACGAGGGTGGGAACTACTCGCAACCTGACGCTACCTTCGTGAAGGAAGTGTGAGTATCTTATTCATACACAGACCTGTTCTGGAGATTTTTTTTTATCCTTAATCTTGTCCTGTATCTCACCTGATGGTAAGTGATGATCAGGCCGAAGGTGGAAGCGAGCTTCACCCGGAATCCTCAACCACAGAGGAACTGGCTATCTTACCTCTTACTGCCGGAACACAACAATGCTGTTAACATTGTGACAGACTTGCAAAAATGTTTCTTTGGTCCTATTGCCAGATCAGCTGGAATCTTATTTGTTTTCTTTTCTATTTATTCATTTCAGTCAGTTATTTGGTTGTCTATTGTGTTTTCTCTCGTCATCACTTATGACAATTCGATTTCCCTAATCTTCAAATTAAAATAATTTATTTTTGCAGCACATACCGAAGTACAAACACAAAAGAGCCGGGCGAGATATCACCGCCTTCCGCAAACCTTAACACAGGCTTCCGACTGATCAAGGAAGTTCAGAAGAAGTTCAAAACGCGAGAGGCAGAAGAAAGGGAAAAGGAAGATCTGGTCAAACAAGACACACTGGTTATGTCCCAAAGCAAAGGCAACCCCAAACTAAAAGATCTGTACATTAGACCTAACATCGTCACGAAGAGGATGAGCGGCTCTCTCGAGGCACACACCAATGGCTTCAGGTTCACGTCCGTCAGAGGCGACAAAGTGGACATACTCTATAATAACATCAAGAATGCATTCTTTCAGCCCTGTGATGGAGAGATGATTATACTTTTACATTTCCATTTGAAACACGCTATTATGTTTGGTGAGTGCTTTTTATATTGTGGTGATATTTCAGAAACTAATGTCACACGAAATTACTTACTTCTTTATTAGCTTGTTTACGTTCATAAGAGCCGCGTATTTTGTCTTATACGTGCTCGCTAAACCAAGCTTATACCTGTATGTATATGTTAGTCTGAAAGACTCATCGTATCTGAAAAACATAAATTCAGTAGCTGCTTCAACTCTACACTCTAATCCTCCTTGCAGAGTATAGGAGCAGTAAAAGTCCGGTCGCCGAGCAGATAGAATTTCGTCCAATGACCCCAAGCTACCCATCCTTGTCGTGCGTACGCCGTACACGTATTCTATGTGCTCGGCGACCGGACTTTAGTCAGTATTACTGTTCTTTCGCCAAAAACTACAACTGTCGTATCTTTCCCAGGCAAAAAGAAGCACGTGGACGTGCAATTTTACACAGAAGTGGGTGAAATCACCACCGACCTGGGCAAGCACCAGCACATGCACGACCGCGACGACCTGGCGGCCGAGCAGAGCGAGCGCGAGCTGCGACACAAGCTCAAGGTCGCCTTCAAGAGCTTCTGCGAGCGCGTCGAGAACATGACCAAGCAGGAGGTCGAGTTCGACACGCCCTTCAGGTGGGTGGCTGGTAGAGGCTGCACGGCGCACGCGACCGCCACCTGCAGAGCGAGCGGAGACCGAGGTTGAGGCTTGAGGTCGACTTGGCCTTCGAGTTGGTTCTTACTACCAATTTGAAGGACTTGTCGAACTCGACCTATTACTACACGGAGCTGGCTGGCGAGATCACCATTCGATCACTACCTCACGTGAGCAAATAAGATTCCCACTACCTAACCTGAATATACAGGAGTTGCAGCGGTGTGAACGATAGATGGAAATAGGTCACCTAAATAGTACCTAACCTGAGAAGTTTGAAGTTGAAAAGTTTACCTCAACTGTTTTGTGTGATTTGTTTATAATTTACTATATCTGTAACATAAGTCTTACCTAGTACGGACACCAGTCTCTAACAATAAAGTTATTAAGTATTTTGATGTATTCATAACAGTATTTTGTAATGACTATATTGTGAAAGAGAAATAAATAAACATTATTATTATACCTACGTCACAGTTCTAGCGCTTATCATACTAAAGCCCGGTTTCTGAGCACGTAGAATTTTGTCCAATGACCCCAAGCTACCCATCCTTATCGCTCGCGCGTAATTATGTTGCTGTAGCGCTCGCACACTCACTGCGGGCGCCCGTCGCGACAGCAATATTTACGCGCGAGCGATAAGGATGGGTAGCTTGGGGTCAATGGACAAAATTCTACGTGCTCAGCGACCAGACTATAGCTGTATTCAACATCGCCCAACTGAAAACTATACCATTCAATCTGCTTTTAGAGAGCTGGGTTTCCCCGGAGCGCCGTTCCGCAGTACCGTCCTCCTACAACCCACGTCAGGAGCCCTGGTCAACCTGACCGAGTGGCCGCCCTTCGTCATAGCCCTCGAAGACGTCGAGTTGGTGCACTTCGAAAGAGTCCAGTTCCACCTCAAGAACTTCGATATGGTGTTCGTGTTTAAGGACTACGCGAAAAAGGTGGCCATGGTCAATGCGGTGCCTATGAACATGCTGGATCATGTTAAGGAGTGGCTGAAGTGAGTGTTTATTTATTACAAACTTTATTGCGCATGATACAGAGTATAAAGAACTGAATGCAGTCTCATTTTATGGCAATCTTTACCAATGTTTGGGCCAAGCAGAAAATATCGACGAGTATCTTCTTATAGATCTTTTTAGTACCCATTTGAACTGCCGATGTGTGAGCATTTGCAGCGTCAGCTAATTTCAGGTTCTAAGATCAATTGAAGTTTTATAAATGTCTCATTATATGTCAAAATCCACCAATCACGCAGCAGTCAGACCCTACATCCACGTCCTGCCATCTGGCGGATTTTACAATCGCGAAAACCCTCATTAAATAAAAATTTAACAATCTTTTCCACCTTCTCAGAGGTATACAAATGCTTTCCTTTCCAGCTCCTGCGATATTCGCTACTCAGAAGGTATTCAATCTCTAAACTGGACCAAAGTCATGAAAACAATCACGGACGACATCGAAGGCTTCTTCGACAATGGTGGTTGGTCATTCTTGGATCCGGAGTCGGATGAAGAAAATGCTGCACAGGTTTGTACAAAACTCATCTACATGCTATATTTAAAGCGCACTTAGTGCCTGAGATATGGTACGGGAGGGGTAACATTGACATAATTATTATGACATGACAGAGCATACAAATCTGCCCCCCTAGACAAAACGCACTTTTTGATCGAATCGAAAATCGAATCCGTCAAAACTCCATACAAAAAAGAGGCTTTTCGACCACTTTTCGACTGGTTTGCGATTATAATTTGCACTTTGTCTAGACCCACTGAAGTCTCGCTGACGTTTGATCGTCACAAAAACACTCCTGTGCCGCTCCGTGGTAACTCCACTGAGTTAAAAGCTAGACCTATAAATACAGCAGTTTTTTAATTTCGTCCTTGATTAAATGACCTAGAGACTGAGAAGTGCAAGTGTGTTATATTCTGCAATGTTATTATCATGTCATGTAATCGCTATAGTTCCTTGCCTTTAAACATCTTTTCTAGAACATTGGCTTGGTAGACTTCGTAGATTTTTTTACTTCTTGTTTGTCCCACAGCAAGAGGAGGATTCTGAAGAGGAGGATGACGCGTACGAGCCCACGGACGCCGAATCGGAGGAGGAGTCCGAGGACGACTCGGAGTACGACTCCGAGGCCTCCGACGAGTCCGACGCCTCCGGGGACAGTGAGGGTACGTTATATTAGAGGCCGGTAGATCTATTCTCATAAATAAAACACTGGATACTCATCTTTCACATTATATTGCCTTATTTTAGATACGATTCATCACTTAGCACAAAAGCGCGCGGAGTCGTCTCCGCGCGTCCCTCTCTTCTGACGTTTGATGCTAGCGTGACATTGACGTATTGTCAATGTCACTATGACAGCATCTCATTGGCCACAACGATACCGTTATTTTAACGTTTTAGATTTTTCATAATTAACAGTTACAACACTATGAAAACTTTACATTCGCTAATATTTGAAACTGCTCGTATTTTTTATAAGTCAAGCATCTGGTGAGCCGTTTCAATGAGGGTTTTCGCGATTGAAGGATCCGCCATATGGCGATACGTTGACGCAGGGTCCAGATGCTGCGTGATTGGTTATTTTTGACAGGACATTGACAGATATGTCAAAATCCACCAATCACGCAGTGCAGCGGTCGGACCCCACGTCCGCGTCCCGCCATCTAGCGGATTTTTCAATCGCGAAAACCCTCATTGCTGGTATTCTTGAAATAAGCATCTGGTGATATGTTTCATCAACCCAGTGCCACCTGGGTTGAAACTGCTGAAGCGATGTTTCCATGCATTTTTACAGCTTTCACTTCGGGCTACACTTCTCACTTCCACGACATGCTTACGGCAGTCAAATTTATTCGAAATGCCGCATTCACAGATCTAGATTGATGTCCAACATCTATTTATTCCATTACTCCTTATCATGATTAGGAATGACATGAACAACGCTTGCTTTGAAGTTTGAACGACTTGTAAGGCGCTAGTGCTGCCTTCTAGCGCCAGAATGTAAAGCTAAAGTATAGCTTCTTCTAATTCTTTCCTCCCCATTCCAGAAGAGGACGAAGAGTCCGGCAAGGACTGGTCGGACTTGGAGCGGGAAGCAGCCGAGGAAGACAAGAAAGAGCGCGGCTACGAGCGCGAGGACTTCGACGGCAAGCGCAAGGCCGGCCGCGACCGCCCGCGCTACGACGACGACCGCAAGAAGCACAAGCACGACAAGTCGCACGCGCACAAGCCCTCTAGCCACAAGAGCCCCTCCAAACATAGCAGCAGGTGACTATACTAGCTAGCCTTTGAAGTACCCGCGAATTGAGACAATAGAAATCAATTGTTACCGCTGTCTTATACGACCGCTTAGGCCCAGAACAGACGGTGAAACGCAACTGCAACGAAACTGCAACTGCTAGTTACTTTTGAGTTGCATCTAAGTTTCTGCCATAGCGTCCGTTGAGAGACCACACATGACGCGACTAGTTTGAAACTTTCAGTCTCAGTTTCATTCATCAGAATGATCAGAAAGTTGCAGTTGCGTTTCACCGTCTGTTCTGGGCCTTAGGGTTTGATGAGATAGATTATTTTTGGAATATTCAATATTATTCATAATTAATTATCATTACATAAAAATCTACTTGCAAACTGAAAAATATATTTTGTGCGAACCGCAATATATTGAAAGGTTTGTCTGGCAAAATAATAAAACCATGACCAAACCAATCATAAAACCTGTCCTAATGGTTTACGTACCGGACTACTATTGCCAGTCCAGGGCCCATCCGCGATGTGGTATTTGTAGTACCGCTTTGTTTAGTTTGGGATTAGATGACGCAGTGTAATATTAATCTAATACTTAACCATAAAATCCACTAAAAATTACCTATTTTTTAATAGCAGTCCGTCGAAGAACCGCGACAAGCACCACAAGTCGTCCCACCACTCCGAGAAGTCGTCGCACAGCAAGTCCAACGGCGACCACAAGAAGCACTCCGACCGCAAGTCGCACAAGCGCTCGCGCGACGACAGCCGCGACCACGAGCGCAGCTCCAAGAAGCCCAGGTCGGTACCAGACCAGTATTATATTTAGCATAAATACAACTGGTGTGATAAACCTTTAAATTGTCTTACTTTAAGATGATAATTCAGGAAGCTTCCTAATCTAGACAAAAGCACAAATAAGATGTTTATCTTGATGTTCTAATCCGGTACATCTTTTACTATCAAGTGCTTCGCGGCTATCTTCGTTCTTAGCATTACAAACTAGCTATGTAAAATTCTTCAAACACAAGTCATAATTTTTTATGTTTTCTGTAACATTACAAAAAGCTATAACATAATTTTTGTTGCAGGAAATAAATTAAGAATCAACATTATTTTGGAGTTAAACGGGTTCCCCTGGCACGCGGCTCGCGACTTCGGTTTTAAGTTTAGATACACCTGCCCAGTGTCCGTCTGCATAATGTTCAAAATCTGATAGCCTGTATGTTCTTTGTATGTATGTAGATTATTTTCAATTCCATCGATAAATGAATGTAATTTAAATTGCAACACAAAAATAAACATAAGATTTATTATTTGGAAATTTCATTTATTCCTGTGTCATAATAAGTTAAAGGAACTACTCATTCAACAAAGTTAGCAATATAACAACTGAATACGCCTTTATGTCCACAAAACAAAGAAGAGTAAAAGATACAAGCAATAAAAACTAATTATTCTATGCAGGAATGCATAAGTATTACAGCAGTGTACCGAAATCAAATGGAGAGCAATAAAAATATCAAATAAAACGTAATTCTATCCCATAGAACTACAATACTAAGTACAAAAAAAAGTTTCTTTGTCCTGTGGATATAACAAAAAATCTCGCGGTTAACTGATTGATAACTTACATCACAATCTAATTGAATCACATAATTAAATTGTACATTATTTACAACAAAAATACTATATCTACGTCCACGTAGATTGTTAAAAGCTATCAGTTTTCTGTTGATTGCTCTGTCTCCTGAGCGGCGACTACAGGTCCTCGCGGCAATACTGATATCCTCTTGGATTCCGGCAGCTTACTGACGTCCAGCGCCTTCGACGGATCCTTTTGCTCCTGCGTATCGCTCGAGCTCAAATACTTCTTATTGACTAGCATAAGTAACATAAGCGCGGGCAAGTGTATTAGAGAGAATCTAAATAGCTTTCTGGAACTCCCACTGTCTGATTTCTTGTAGAATTCCCATGCTGAAACAAAAATAACATAAATGATTAATTAATTAAATATAGCCTTGAAAACATATAATTCAATGCACATTTTCCTCATAACAAACTTGGAGTGTGTGGTTAGATTAGACACTTACCTAAGTACATAAAATAAATATTTAACGGGAGCGATTCGAGCGCAAACCACTTGTTCGTCACTTCAAGGTACGGCGACGCGAGACAGATTCCTGTGATGATCCCAGTGTGTCTGAGCGCCACTCTTCTGCATAAAGCTGAAAAAAAGAATATATCAATGAAATGTCATTTCTTATCTTCTTTTACTGACCTATTCTATTTGTCTATTTATAAGTGGAAATTTAACAATGACGTAGACCTGTGTAACTACTACTGAATCTATTTTCTGCAATCTCCTGCTCTGATCATGATCATGAGGGATGTTACACCTTGTCGTTGTTTACTTATGTTCGAGATTAACTATGTCACTGTTCATCTCGTTTTGCGCGAGAGGCGATCTGGTGAAGGCACAGATCACAGAAACTAAAGGGAGATGTGAAAAAGGGGCGGGGCCGGTGTCGCAGCAATATGCCCAAAAACAGAACACATTCATTTGTCCAGCAGTGGACGTCATTAAGTTGAAAGTGTTGAAACGAGAGCATTATGTTAAAATTGTCGAAAAAAACGACTTGTCGTGCAGGGGAAGGTTGAGGGCACAAGAGCGCGCGGCAGGTCGCCAATGCGCTGGACTGACCAGTTCAAAACCGCACACAATGGTCCACTCCACGAGTGCACAAGAAAGGCTGCAGTGCGGGAGGAATGTCGACGGATTGTGAGACTTGCCACCGGACCTGGTGTGACGACCACGACCACTCTGGCAAGAGTGTAGCGACGAAGAAGAAGAATGTTAAAATTGGATACATACCAGGGTCAGTGACCGCCATCATCCGGTACCCGGCGCGCGAGTAGTCGGGCCGCAGGTTCCAGGACAGCGCGTTGAAGTGCGGGAACTGCCACGAGTACAGCAGCCCGCCCAGCACCGCCGCGCCCGCGTCCAGCCCGCCCGCGCACCCCGCCCAGCCCATGAGTGGCGGGATTGCGCCCACTGGGGGAATACAGGGATAGTGTGAAAAGATGTTTAGACGAAAGCAGGCCTATGGATCACGCCCGGTGGTGGAATAAAGGGATAGTGTGAAAGAATGTAAAGACAAATGATAAAACGATCATGTAAAACGATATAAAGAAGACAAAGGCACATAGAGCTAAATAACAGCCGATCAGGGGCGGGATCGCGCCCACTGGGAGAATAAAGGGGTAGTGTAAAACGATGTTTAGACTAAGGCACAGAGTTAAAAACTATGACTAGCTAACAGCGCGACGGGATCGCGCCCACTGGGAGAATAACGATCATGTGAAACAACAGTGTAAAGACAAATGATAAAAAGTTCATGTAAAACGATTTTGTCTTCTTTATATTATAAAGAAGACAAAGGCACATAGAGCTAAATAACAGCCGATCAGGGGCGGGATTTCGCCCACTGGGAAAATAACGATCGTGTGAAACAACAGTGTAAAGACAAATGATAAAAAGTTCATGTAAAACGATATAAAGAAGACAAAGGCACATAGAGCTAAATAACAGCCGATCAGGGGAGGGATCGCGCCCACTGGGGGAATTAAGATCATGTGAAACAAGTACAACAGTGTGAAGACAAATGATAAAAAGTTCATGTAAAACGATATAAAGAAGACAAAGGCACATAGAGCTAAATAACAGCCGATCAGGGGCGGGATCGCGCCCACTGGGAGTATATAGGGATAGTGTAAAACGATGTTTAGACTAAGGCACAGAGTTAAAAACTATGACTAGCTGACAGCGCGACGGGATCGCGCCCACTGGGAGAATAACGATCATGTGAAACAACAGTGTAAAGACAAATGACAAAAAGTTCATGTAAAACGATATAAAGAAGACAAAGGCACATAGAGCTAAATAACAGCCGATCAGAGGCGGGATCGCGCCCACTGGGATAATAAAGATCATGTGAAACAACAGTGTAAAGACAAATGATAAAAAGTTCATGTAAAACGATATAAAGAAGACAAAGATAAGATAAGATAATACTTTATTGCCTCGTTTTTACATGCTTTACAAACAGAAATACAAACAAAAAAAATACAAAGGCACATAGAGCTAAATAACAGCCGATCAGGGGCGGGATCGCGCCCACTGGGAGTATATAGGGGTAGTGTGAAAAGATGTTTAGACGAAAGCAGGCCTATGGATCGCGCCCACTGGGAGAATAAAGATCATGTGAAACAACAGTGTAAAGACAAATGATAAAAAGTTCATGTAAAACGATATAAAGAAGACAAAGGCACATAGAGCTAAATAACAGCCGATCAGGGGCGGGATCGCGCCCACTGGGAGAATATAGGGGTAGTGTGAAAAGATGTTTAGACTAAGGCAGGACTAACAGAGGCGGGATCGCGCCCACTGGGAGTAAACAGTGATCGAGTGACAAGATGTTTAGTGTAAGGCAGGCCTATCAGCGGCGTGATCGCGCCCACTGGGAGTAAACTGATCGAGTGAAAAGATGTTTAGACAAAGGCAGGCCTGACAGCGGCGGAATCGCGCCCACTGGCAGAGTATGGGTTAGGGATAGTGTGAAACCAGTGTTTAGACAAAGGCACATCGCAAGCGGCGGGATCGCGCTTAGACTAGGCGCAGACCACCGATTTTTGTTGGCCGATAGTTGGGCCCGATTTTAATTTGTATGAAGAATCGGCCGATACCAAATCGGTGTAATGTGCGCACTTCCATACATGCACATACTGATCAACTGCCCGACTTAACGAAAAATCGATGGTCTGCGCCTAAGCTTACTGGTAGGGTATAGGGATCATGTGAAACGACTAAGGCACATTAAAAACTGTGAACAGCTAACAGCGCGACGGAATCATGATCACGTCTTGATAGAGACAGTATAAAGGAGTTAAGTTTACTTGTGTGTTTAGATTTAGTGTAGGCTGTGTAGGTACATGATTACATTGAGGTAAATAGTATTGATTCAAATGTCTTCCTGGATTCATTTCATTCATTCAAAGGCGACTCATCCGTTTACTTACCTACAGAGCCCAACCATGTGTTCAGAATCGACATCCTCTTCATAGGAGTATAAACTGAAGTATAGAGGATAAGGTTTCCAGCCCCTAATGCAGCCGTCAGCGGGTTCACGCCAAAGTACAATAGTCCGAGGCCTGTCGCACTGGTCGCGGCCGCGAAGCCGATTGCATGCGATGGCCTGTAATCAAAAAATTGAGACATTTAATATTAAATTGCATAAAAAACCTGCAGACAGTCAACTAATGAAACATGGCTATCTGATTCATTCAGCTATTTTATTCTTAAGTACTTAACAAACTTCATCTCATATCTCATGGACTGATTCAAAAATGTCCATTGTAATCAATATGAGAAGTTTAAAACTTCAGGAAAGAAGTTTAATTCTTTTAAAGCCATCTGAAATTGGCAGGGTAAGTGTGTAATAATGTAATTCATAAAACTTTGACCTCATTTGTATACTTAACATTCACATTGCAAGTACAAAACTTCACTTACTCTAGCAATCCTTTCACAAGCACGCGGTTCTTAGTGCGCGACATTTGCGCGTCGAAGGGCACTTCGTGGTATTGGTTGATGGAGTTGGCGGCGGCGGATACCAGGCCAGTTCCCGCGGCGGTCAGCAAGAATGTCGTCAGCTCGAAGGGAGCCGGAGCCAGCGCATAACCGGCCATGGACGTCATTACCACGAGAGCTGAATGAATGAGTGAAAATGAAATTCCAATTCATCTGAATTCAAATTAAGGGGTTCTTTTCAGCACAGTTGTGGGAGTTCTTTGCTGATTCTAAACAGCAATAAAAACCACAAACTTCTTAAAGATAAATCTTTTAAAAATAAACAAGATAGCTCACAGAGAAGAATGAACACAAGAAAAAATTTATTACATTACACTTTGAATATACAATTTTACACAAAAAGTAAAAATTTTATATAGATAAGTTTTGTGAACACCACAACTAGGAATTTAACTTGTAAAGTTATCAATCTAAATATTAATATTTGCAATGCATTCATAATATAAAACATGAACTTATCAAAGTAATGGAGTAGGTAAAAAAAACATCAATCACACTTACAAGTCAACCGAAATTTGGACAGCATCATACAATACTGTCCCAAATTGTTCTTTCTGTCCAGGGACGGGGTTTCCTTCCACACCCGGTTATCCTGTGGCACATTTTTGCCTTTTTTAGTGCTGGTGGGCGTCTGGCTAAGGGTGGTGACAGGCAACTGACTTTTCCAACAACTTGTGGTTGATATTCGTGCAAGCTGCTGGGTAAGGGTTCCATTCTGTTGATATTAAAGTTTATTAATAAGACAGAACCAAAACTTTTTTAAAAATCAACACTTTTATTAAATGACTGTATAAAAGACTCAGTAGTAGCATAAAGGCATTAGACTGCATGGTAAACAAGTAATGGTACTTTAAGCAATAAATTCCAAACCTTGTTGCACAATGTTTTTAAATTCACTGTGTAAAGCCATAATACAATAGGTAATTTGTAAATATTTTAATGAGTTACTAATCATCAGAATTACCCCTATTTTTAGCAGCACAGATCTGGTGGACATGCCCATAGCACCATGTTTGAGGCAAAATGTGCATTGAAGCACTTTGATGTAAGACATAGTGGTATCTTTAAGTCATCATCCTGAAAATTAGGCATACAGCCACAATGTTAACATGATAAGATCATGCTTGATGAAAATGACATGCTTTGACTATAAACTATTAAAGTAATGGATTTATAATTTTAAAATGTTGGCTGGTAAACACGAGAATAATTCCATTTACACAAATCATATATCATAAAAGGTTTCAGTAAAAAATAAGCACCAAGTTACATAATAAGGTAAATGTTTTGCTAAGACACAAACATGTAAACGGACGTACAAGTGTATGAAAATTGTAAACTTGAAAAATATCAAACTATCACGCACCTATGAAATTTAACTTAATATAAATAAATATAAAGGTCGAATAATATCACACCACTATAAAAAAATGCAATAAACAGGATAATTCAAATATTGAGAGGTTATTTTTCAGATAACCCCGTCTGAAAGACGTCTTCACAAGTGACGTTTTACTTTTTTTTAACCCTCTAACCCTAAAATGTTCAATGGTTCTAGCGGAAAAAGATAAATAAAGTTTCTTGTCTTGTTTATAACCATGGCATTAAGATTGCAGAGAATCAATACTTTTTATTTGCATATGGCAATAATATTATGACATAAATATGTTGCCAAATTAGTGAGATATTACATTTTTTTGGGGTAATTTTTAAGGGTAGACGGTACGGAGATGTTGGTCTTGTTAGAATAGTGGTACAGTCGTACTAGAAAAGTAAAAGTTTATAATACGAATTATTGCACAATTAGTATTGATTATTAGATTTGTATTATAAATTAATAAAAACGTATTTTTGTGAATAGGCCAATATTTATATTCTCTTAACAAAAACTTGAAGAATATTATAAGCCTTCAATCATCAAGTTTTTTAAACTCTTATACAAATTCACACAAGATTCCATAAACTTTGAATTCTTCATTCTTCCTCCTCGGCTGAACGTTGTGCCAATAGCCATTAATGAATAGACTTGTGGCGACGCCACTACAAACTAGTGACCAACAGATGGCGCTATCACTACTTCACTATGGCACACTCCGCCGCTCATACAAACCTGCATCGCGGTGACGGAGTTTTAGATCCTGCCAAAGTATATATAGACAAACCAAGATGGTGTAAATTGGACCTTGGTCCCCGAGCACAACACCCGCTCGGAAGGAAGCACTAACATCTAGCTTCCTTATTGTGGACGAACATCATATCCCACAGACTACAGCTGCTAGAAATCCACTTAATTCTTTATTTTCTTTAAGACACTTTTGCTTCATCGCTTTATGGTCGGTAGGATAATTTCTCATTCTTCAATCATTCGTATTTAAAAATAAAATATTGTTTGGCGAAGAATAGATCTTCCCAAACTTGTTCTATTGTGACGCCCCTTTGGAGTTTGCAATAGGAAGGTAAAGGGAAAAACCTGGAAAATAATTTTGTTAGTTATTAAGAACGAAAACAAAATATAAGGATGAAAGAAATATTTGTTTTTCTTCAGTTAATGGTCACTAATTATTATTAGAAGGACGTGTATACTTTTCTGAGTATAGCCTCTCAAAACGAGGCTCAAGTTTAATTAGAAGGACGTGTCATACTTTTCTGAGTATAGCCTCTCAAAACGAGGATGAAGTTTGGAAATTGCCACTCTCATATTCCTTTCTCTACATTTATTTTCGATCGCTTAACGACACATCTATCATCACTACATATAAAACAAAGTCGCTTTCCGCTATCTGTCCCTATGTTATGCTTAGATCTTTAAAACCAACCACACAATGGATTTTGATTTTTGATGCTTTTTTTTAATAGATAGAGTGATTCAAGAGGAAGGTTTATTAGGTATACTTAGCACCTGTGCGGAGTCGGGGCGGGTCACTAGTGTGATAATAATTTAGGGCAACGTACGGTTTGGGAAGCTTTATTTATAATAAATTATAATAATTTCGCCCAGAAATTGAAACTGAAAAAGAAGATTTCTCTAAGACAAACATACATAATGCATTCCCTTCTTCGGCTTCTTCATCTAAGTCAAAGAATACTCATACCTAAGCACTTTCTCTACTACTTTGATATTATCAGCTAGTGGGAAATAATTTATCATAGTATGGTATCACATTTTTTTTGTTTTTATTTTGATTCGATTGATATTCGAACACGGAAGTGGTTTCGTTTCGTTCGTGTGTTGACGCTCGCATTGCGAAACATGTCCTATAGCTTTTTTAGAACTTTATAAAAATGTCTAAATTATGGTGAACGATTCGTCGGCCCCATAGTAAAGGAAGTAGATCTGAAGATGGCCTCGAGAGGGGACAAAGGGAATGGAAATGGCGAGGAGCAGATCGTAGAGGTAAATCGATGTGGCCTACATTTTTTGACAGACAGGTAAACTTGACCCGAGTATTGAATGAGAATGATGTGATGATGGTTGCAGACGTTGGCGGAGGTGTTCCGCTGTTTCATCTGTATGGAGAAACTGGTGGATGCGCACCTATGTCCCCACTGCTCCAAGTTGTGTTGCTATGCCTGCGTGCGGCGATGGCTGACGGAGCAGAGGTCCCAGTGCCCTCACTGCCGAGCCTCGCTGCACCTGCATGAGCTCGTTAACTGCCGCTGGGTGGAGGAGGTCACCCAGCAGATCGAGACCATGCAACAGACTAACTCCGCTAGTCAACGAGAGAGCTTTAGGGATAGGTAATAAATCTTCAGATATTCTTTCTTTAATTCTTTAATGATAGTTTCTTCATTGAAAAGTTATAAAAAAGTTCAATTTGATTATTCCCGCGAGATTTCAATTAGATTAATATTACTTAGTCTGCTGGACTTGATGCTTACAATGTTGAAGTTAAAAATTACTAAAGGGATTAAACACATTATTTGAACTTCAATATTCAAATTGTAATAGTTTTAGTTATATATAAAGATATATAAAGATGTGGGTAGTTACATATCAAATGTCAGATAGATAATAAAATTTGCAATCATTATGAGATAAAAACAAATGATAAACACCAGATGCCCAACACACCAAGAGAAGCTGACGGTGTACTGCTGGACATGCCGGCGCTGCATCTGCCACCAGTGCGCGCTGTGGGGCGGCACGCACTCGGGACACACCTTCAAGCCGCTGGAGGAGGTGTACGAGCAGCACGTCACCCAGATCCGAGATGAGGTGGCCCAGCTGAGGCGCAGGCTGATGGAGCTTATTAGCCTGGTGCAGGATGTGGTGAGTCAAACTAGAAATTCTTTGGGCATTTTGCCTTTGCAGGGCATTTACATTTAGAAACATGTTCCAAGTATAGTTTTGCCCTGCCATAATAGTTATATGAGATTAAATTAGTATTCAAATCAATATCATATTGTTTATTACAAAAACACTCCAAAAACTATTTATTTATCAATCTATAATTTTGGACCAGTCACTGGTCACCAGTGTGTAGTTACTAAGAGTATTAGTTAATAATTAAAAAGAACTACATATTATACAATTTAAAAGACTGGTGTAACATACATGTCTCATTTTTTGCCAGATACTTGTCAGGTATTTTAAATTCTACAAATCGTTTTTACTGTAGAAAGTGGATTATTAGCTCAAAAGTTAGTGCCTAGCACCTGCCATTGCATGTCAAGGCTGTCCCCTGAGCCTAGAACAAACAGTACCAAGGTTACAACTTTTAGCAAATAAATATGTAATTTTGAATAAGTAAGGACAGCAAATTCATTCCTCTGAAAAAAAACTAACTGTAGTCAATATTGTAGTGGTATTGAGAACTGAGCTATGGTCTTTTGCCGCGTCTAATAACATAAGTATCGAGGGAACTTCAAAGGCGTTCGACATGGCTCAATCGGACCAAGAATGTAACGTGCCCTCTGAAGTACGGAATCATATATCTTGCTTGTACTGAACCTGTAGTCAATGAAACTCTAGTTTTCGTTCCATTAGCGTTATTAATAAGGGATTGCGTAGAGATTGGAATCCATTTGAATGTCCACTTTTAAAATGCCGGCCTAACGCCGCTCCTTGCTTGAATCTCTTTCACAAGTGTAGAATTTTGAATCTTATTCTTTAGGGGCCGTTCAAGTATTACGTAAGCAGATTTCTTACCATTTTTTACCCCCCCGCCCCCGTTGTCATCAAAAGTAAGCAAAGCACTTACCCCCTCCCCCTATGCTTACGTAAACATTTTTAGTTATAAATGTTTTTTATACAGTGTGAGTCACGTTAAAGTGTACATGTTACGGCTAAAGATAGTTGTGAACATAAACTTAAGATTAGCCGGCTAAACTTAAGTTTATCTTCGAGAAGCAGCTAAAGTTCGATAACATGTTAGTTTGCGTCGTGATATTCCATCTTTAGCCGGCTAATGTGCACATTAGCCAAAACGAAACGGCTAAAAATGTATTCGATGGGCGCGCCAGGCCGGCGGAGGGCTTGAGGGGGCGGTGGGGAGAGAACGCGCGCGCAGTTTATTTTGTAATTTTAAATACCTACAGAAGATTCAATTGTAATGACCAAATGGTTCCTTATTATTTTATTTTAATGATTAGGTAGATATTGTTTTAAGTAATTAATATTTTGTTATTGTAATAATTGTAATTTTGAATACGTACAATGTACATAGGTACATAAAAGTATATGTAATGAAAGTGATTATTTTTTAACACGTTCCGCCGCGGTAACGGCATATACAGTAAAGGTGGAATTCATTCATATTATGGCAGTTCGGGTCTCGCCGTTTTTACGAAAATCAATCTAAAAATCACTACGGCAACAACCGTCGATTTTACATAGAGTTTCATAGAGAGCACACTTGTTGTTGCAAAATATTGTGAACAACAGTACGGGTATAGGTGTATGAAACATTATGAAGATTGTTAGTGTCATAGTGGACTGGAGTACAGCGTCGGAACGTGTTAATAAAGTTTTCGTGTCAAAATAGTAAACATTATTACATTGTTTCCTTTTCCATTTCCTTCTACATTTTTAGCCAGGGGCCTGCGGTTACACTTAAGTTTAGCCGGCTAAAGATAGAAGAAACTAACATTAACACCTCGTCGAAGATAAACTTAAGTTTAGCCGGCTAATCTTAAGTTTATGTTCACACCTATCTTTAGCCGTAACATATTCGTGTTTTTTTGGTTATTTGATAAATTTCTCCAAAAAATGCCCCTATAACCGGTGGTTTTTATTACTTTGTATTATTCTCTATCGTATTACCTTCGTAAAACCAAAAATCGCATGTCTCTATCCCTATCACAACGTTTGCAATGATGAAATAACTAACGATGACGTAATCATCATCTAGACCCCCCTACCCCCCATGTCATCCAAAATAAGCAAAACAGAGACCCCCCCACCCCCCTTTGGTGCTTACGTAATACTTGAACGGCCCCTTACCTGTTAAAAGTTCAAATTATGGAGGTTTGTCTATTGAAATTCATCCACCACCAGATAAAAAGTCAATATTATTCTTTAGGAGCGTAACGTAGAATCCGTTCGAGCGGCGAAAGACGAGCGCGTCCGCGAGATTCGAAACGCGGTCGAGCTGATGATCTCCCGCCTGGACTCGGCGCTGAAGGCCAAGCTGCTGACGCTCATGGGCCAGAAGAACAGCCTCACGCAGGAGACGGAACAACTGGAGCACCTGCTTCAAGAAATAGAGCATCAGCTACATGCTAGCACTAGGTGAGAAAACTTATGTAGATAATACGTAAACTAGGAGACCTAGGAAAAAGATACGGGCGATTGTTACTAGCTGCTGACGCTCATGGGCCAGAAGAACAGCCTCACGCAGGAGACGGAACAACTGGAGCACCTGCTTCAAGAAATAGAGCATCAGCTACATGCTAGCACTAGGTGAGACCATCATCATCATCATTTCAGCCATAGGATGTCCACTGCTGAACATAAGCCTTTGGGGGAGGCTGCTTTCCATGTTGATCGATTGGTAGCGGCCTGCGTCCAGCGCTTCCCTGCTACCTTTACGATGTCGTCGGTCAACCTTGTAGGTGGACGTCCCACGCTGCGTTTTCCGGTAATACTTACACAATGTGTAGGTAATACTTAAGTAGGAGACATAGGGAAAAGATACGGGCGATTGTTACTAGCTGCTGACGCTCATGGGCCAGAAGAACAGCCTCACGCAGGAGACGGAACAACTGGAGCACCTGCTTCAAGAAATAGAGCATCAGCTACATGCTAGCACTAGGTGAGACTTAATGTGTAGGTGATACTTAAGTAGGAGTCCTAGGGAAAAGATGGGCGATTATTACCAGCTGCTGACGCTCATGGGCCAGGAACAGCCTCACGCAGGAGACGGAACAACTGGAGCACCTGCTTCAAGAAATAGAGCATCAGCTACATGCTAGCACTAGGTGAGACTTACATAATGTAGGTAATACTTAAGAAGGAGACCTAGGGAAAAGATACGGGCGATTGTTACTAGCTGCTGACGCTCATGGGCCAGAAGAACAGCTTCACGCAGTAGACGGAACAACTGGAGCACCTGCTTCAAGAAATAGAGCATCAGCTACATGCTAGCACTAGGTGAGACTTACATAATGTAGGTAATACTTAAGAAGGAGACCTAGGGAAAAGATACGGGCGATTGTTACTAGCTGCTGACGCTCATGGGCCAGAAGAACAGCCTCACGCAGTAGACGGAACAACTGGAGCACCTGCTTCAAGAAATAGAGCATCAGCTACATGCTAGCACTAGGTGAGACTTACATAATGTAGGTAATACTTAAGAAGGAGACCTAGGGAAAAGATACGGGCGATTGTTACTAGCTGCTGACGCTCATGGGCCAGAAGAACAGCCTCACGCAGTAGACGGAACAACTGGAGCACCTGCTTCAAGAAATAGAGCATCAGCTACATGCTAGCACTAGGTGAGACTTACATAATGTAGGTAATACTTAAGAAGGAGACCTAGGGAAAAGATACGGGCGATTGTTACTAGCTGCTGACGCTCATGGGCCAGAAGAACAGCCTCACGCAGTAGACGGAACAACTGGAGCACCTGCTTCAAGAAATAGAGCATCAGCTACATGCTAGCACTAGGTGAGACTTACATAATGTAGGTAATACTTAAGAAGGAGACCTAGGGAAAAGATACGGGCGATTGTTACTAGCTGCTGACGCTCATGGGCCAGAAGAACAGCCTCACGCAGGAGACGGAACAACTGGAGCACCTGCTTCAAGAAATAGAGCATCAGCTACATGCTAGCACTAGGTGAGACTTACATCATCATCATCATCATTTCAGCCATAGGATGTCCACTGCTGAACATAAGCCTCCCCCAATGCTTTCCATGTTGATCGATTGGTAGCGGCCTGCGTCCAGCGCTTCCCTGCTACCTTTACGATGTCGTCGGTCCACCTTGTAGGTGGACGTCCCACGCTGCGTTTTCCGGTAATACTTACATAATGTGTAGGTAATACTTAAGTAGAAGACCTAGGGAAAAGATACGGGCGATTGTTACTACCTGCTGACGCTCATGGGCCAGGAACAGCCTCACACAGGAGACGGAACAACTGGAGCACCTGCTTCAAGAAATAGAGCATCAGCTACATGCTAGCACTAGGTGAGGCTTACATAATGTAGGTAATATTAAAGTAGGAGACCTAGGAAAAAGATACGGGCGATTATTACCAGCTGCTGACGCTCATGGGCCAGGAACAGCCTCACGCAGGAGACGGAACAACTGGAGCACCTGCTTCAAGAAATAGAGCATCAGCTACATGCTAGCACTAGGTGAGAAAACTTATGTAGGTAGTACATTAAGTAGGAGACCTAGGGAAAAGATGGGCGATTGTTACTAGCTGCTGACGCTCTTGGGCCAGAAGAACAGCCTCACGCAGGAGACGGAACAACTGGAGCACCTGCTTCAAGAAATAGAGCATCAGCTACATGCTAGCACCAGGTGAAACGTAGGGAAAAGCTAGTGCCGATTTTTATTTGACCGTCTTCTGTTTTTGAACGTTCTTTAATTGAGACTATTCTCTTTCATACGTTCGAAATAAAGTTGATTAATTTCGATAAAATTCATCGATTGTTCCAATAGTAATCTCAGCGCAATGCGCGTTGTTTGTTACGCCGACTTCACAATCGATCATCGATTTATTTATTTGTTTTCTGCTTCTGTGTTGCGGTTGGCAATGACGAAAGTATAATCCGAAATTAAATCGAGAAATTTTGTAAAAAAAAATCGTGTTCAATGTTTACAGCTTTGATATAATTTGATACAGCACGGCTGTAAATCTTATGATAAAGATTAATGAACATTGTTGTTGTTGAATGCGTCTTTTTTAATTAATGCCAATATTTCTTGCAGATCCGAGCTGATCGCCAAGAGCGGCGAACTATCGAAAATGATCCATCAAGTGCGAAAGAAACCGATGGCTAGCTTTGTGACCGCGCCCGTACCGGCCGATTTCCATAGGCAAGTTGAGAAAAAGATTGATAGGTACAAATACACACATCTCCTAATACAAGAAACTATTAACAACATTATTTATAACTAAATTGCATGGGTGCAGTTGACAGCCTAATTTCGGTGGCAGGTTCTCAAGAGCGATTGAAAACATATTTACTAACAAATTGGCTTCTTTATCAATAGATAAACATTCCACTTGTTGCTATTCTATTTAATTGCGATAACGCTATATTTTGATTATCATGGATGATAGAAACATTCGTTTATGATATCCTTTGCTTTAATGACTTAATAAATGCCTAAGATTTCAGGTTTTCAGGCCATTTACTTTATTATCAAACTCTATTTCAACCTTATGCTAACCAATTATGCAAGGCATAACTTCTTAAAGTTCAGCAAAAACCTACAAGTTTATGATTAAGTGAAAAAATTGACATTTATTTGTTTTTAAAAACTCCAACTTCTTCCACACACGCACACTGAATTTTGAAAGAGTGTGCAGGGACTGCATCAAGGCTCTTTTCCCTCCCTCGTTCTTCGCTCCCTACATACTTTTGTAGTCCGTTCCTTATCTTATAAATTTTCTCCCCTCTGAAACTTGGCACCACAAAAACGGTACCATGTACCTACCTGTAAGCAAGAAAACCTAAATTACTAACTACAACAGTACACACATTGACGTGTTACCACCTCGACAGCGAAATCGTGCCGAGCTACGACAGCAGTACGTTCCCTCTTACGAACTTCATCCTCCTTAGCTCCCTGCAAACTTTTCTAGTCCGTTCCTTATCTTGACAATTTTCTCCCTTCGGAAACTTGGCGTCACAAAAACGGTACCATCTACCTGTAAAAAACAAAATCTAAATTACTAACTACAACAGTACACACAGCAGTACGTTCCCTCTTACGAACTTCATCCTCCTTAGCTCCCTGCAAACTTTTCTAGTCCGTTCCTTATCTTATCAATTTTCTCCCTTCGGAAACTTGGCGTCACAAAAACGGTACCATGTACCTACCTGTCAGAAAATCTAAATTACAAACTACAACAGTACACACATTGACGTGTTACCACCTCGACAGCGAAATCGTGCCGAGCTACGACAGCAGTACGTTCCCGCTTACAAACTTCACGCAGCTGCAACACGCGGCGGCGCCCGTGTACTCCCTGCCGCTACACGTCAACGGGTTATGCTGGCGACTGAAGGTCTACCCGGACGGGAATGGAGTGGTACGGGGGAATTATCTCTCCGTGTTTTTGGAACTCAGCGCCGGATTGCCCGAGACCTCCAAGTGAGTTATGCGCGCCTGGTACTTAGGATAAATTTTGAAGTTTGATAGGATTTTTTGAGGGGAAATTGAAGCGTTATGTTTAGTTTTGTTTTATCTCTTAAAATGTATGCTTAGCGACTTAATGTGTAATAATGGTGGATTATTACCATTATGTGTTATGAATAATGTGTGGGCAAATAAAACAAGAATATAACATATTACTTCATATTCTCTCAAGAAGTCCGTGTGAGGTCTCAGTAAAGTGCCACACCTTTACTGATACATAAGGGAATGGGGAGATATCATCTATCATTCATCATCATAATTATTTAAAAATCTTGAACAGGCGACGTAGATTATGCAACTAAGAAAAGTAACGAATCGGAATTTTATTACGAATATAACATTTGTCTCAAAACACAGAGCTACGTCACCTGTTACATGGTAGATTTGCACAATAATAATAATTCTAAAGAGTTTTAAAATGTAATATCTAAAAACATACTTTATTTCACTGAAAATGTTTTTGCTACATCACAAAATAAACTTAATAATTATAATTGTTCGATTATCAATTCATAATTTTTTAACTAATGTTTTTAACTTGTGTTTTAATTATTTAGCGGCCCTATTAGTATCACGATACACGGTATTTACTGTTTTTATAGCTGAATAATGTAGTGTTTCGTTATTGCAAGCACTGCTAATTTAAGGGTAGGCAAGAGGTAAGTGAGACAATCACTGATATTATGACCGTTTATATGTAGTGAAGCATGTTCGTGGCAGTTGCTGATGTGTACAAGATCATTAATTTTATTAAATGGATATTTATTTTTAACAAAATAGAAAACTATTCTGTTTACAATATGTAACGTGTTTTGCAAGAATACTTTTTTTTCTTCTATAATTGTGTGTTCTCATTTCAGTCGCTATTACGACATAACACACCTATTATTATATCGTATGAAGTACAGTAATTTATCATGTTCATAAACCGTAAACGACCTAATGAATAATTGAAACATTTTTGTCAAAATTAGCTTTTTAACCAACCAATGTAGTGTAGGTCAAGATGAGAATAATATCAAACATCTTAATCAGATTATAATGTTGTTGGATTATGTTGTAACGAAAATACAAATTGCTTAATGCTTAATGTTATTGAATTCACTGGAACTAAGTATTAAGCTTATGTTTTATTTCATACAATGTCAATGGCAAGTTATTATGTTTCAAGATTTAGGCATAATCTTCTCTGCTGTTGCATGTTGTTGTTCTATGTTGGCTCCTACTTCCTCTCTTGTATGTAAATTATTTATTCTCAGGAGGTTGAGAAAAGTGTGAAGTTGCGCAATCTTTTCAATTTTGATTAAATACGTGATCAGAAGATATTGATGATGTTTTACGAAACTCAAGAATACATGTATTATATTTCCTACTAGCTTTCCGCCCGCGGCTTCGCCCGCGTGGAATTTTGTCTGTCACAGAAAAACTTTATCGCGCGCGTCCCTGTTTCAAAAACCGCGATAAAAACTATCCTATGTTCTTTCCCGGGACTCAAACTATCTCTATGCCAAATTTCATCAAAATCGGTTGCGAGGTTTAAGCGGGAAAGCGTAACAGACAGACAGACAGACAGACAGAGTTACTTTCGCATTTATAATATTAGTTGGGATTTCCCTACAGTTGTGTTACAAATGATCATGTACTGTTTGTTTCAATAATAAATTGAGTAAACCTTGTAGTTGTAACTATGTTATGTAATAACAAGTGGAGTTTCATGCTTACCACTTAAGTATAAAATAATATTTCCTTACATGTGTAAAATAATATTTTCTTACATAAACGCTTACTTCAATAGCTTCCTTTTTCGTTGTCTATCGCTGTTCAAATGTTGGTGGAACCCTCAGATCATAGAAAGGGAATAGATATGAACTCGCGCGTAACTACAACGAGAACCAGTGTCCCCACATTTCCCCCACCACAGCTCCCACACACACATTCAACTGTGTAAAAACAAAGCGACTGAGAGTCTACGACAACAGGTTCAAAATTGCTATGATTGGCCATAAGGCACGTCACGTCACATACACTTTGAAAAAAGCAATTAGAGAGAAGAAAGATAAAATGGAGTCGATGAGATATCGATATTTTCAATCCTTTGGGGCAAGGCTCGAAACTGGTTTAAAAATGCTTTTGTATGAAAACCTTTTTATTATTATACGCGCCACGCCCCCGTTTCACATCCATTTCCTTCTATGATCTGAGGTGGAACCCCAAACGTTGGCCCAACTGACCAGCACCAACCCGCAGGTACGAGTACCGGGTGGAGATGCTGCATCAAGTGTCTCGCGACCCGTCGAAGAATATCGTGCGCGAATTCGCGTCTGACTTCGAGGTCGGCGAGTGCTGGGGCTACAACCGGTTCTTCAGGCTGGACTTGTTGGCCAGCGAGGGGTATTTGAACCCGGAGACTGACACGCTGATCTTGAGGTGAGCATTGCAGCAGTTGGTTTAAGGTACGCGTCTATTTGTTGTTGCGTTGTCTAGCACCCATAGTACAAGCTTTGCTTAGTTTGGGACTAGAGGAGTGTGAAATGTCAAAGGATATTTATTTATTTGTATGAACCAAAATGACGCGTACCTTATAGATTAATTTATTTGATTTAGTTTGTTAATAAGATTCCATTGTGCTTTAGGCTTCATATGCGCTCCGCGATAAACTTATCGCGTTATTTTATCGATTTTATGCGATAAGCCCAGGTATCTGTCGTCTAAAATCGATAAGATTTTATCACGGCGCGCATCCTAGCCCGGCTGTTAAAGCTTGAAGCCCGCTCCTAACTGTCTATCAGTAAAGTTTAATTGGAATGGACATGGCGCACAATTTTTGTTGAAGATGCCAAAAAAAACTACAAAAAATTAGAATGAATACTGTATTTTTACTTTTTTGATATCTTTAAAAATGACTGAAATATTCAAGCTCAAACTGCGCTCTTCCGCTAGGAGCGATTTTCCGCGCGGATTTTGAAAATGTGACGTAGTAACATGAAAAGCTGCATGTAAGATATTATCTGTGTACAATGGTTAGAATGGTTAGTAGGGGAGCGGAAGCGGGGATTTCGGGACTTACTAAAGAGTGGCAGACTAACATACAAGGAAATACTTTGTACCTGGTTGATTACCTAAATTTTATTTTAGTTGGAAAAAGACAAAAAGTGGTAAATGGGTTAACGTGCGGGGGCTGCAAAATCATGTTGTGACGTCACGCGCGAATATTGGAAATTTTTGAAAATTTTAAAAAGTCCGTAAACTTCTCGAGGCTCTATCTTCGGTAATACTGGATGGATTGAGGTGAAATAAAAACTAGTGTAATGTGTGTGATCTAAACTTTAAATTAAGTCATAATTTAACTTAATATTACAACTTATGCGTGTTGTCCATTGTCTTTGTTTTTGTGTGCAATTCCAGGGCTTTCTAACTCTACGAAGATCTAAAAAATCAGTATTGTTTTTAGATGTGTACTTTATTAGTCACAGATAATGGTGAATATTGTTTTGCGCAAGGTTCCAAGTGCGTCCGCCGACGTTCTACCAGCGCTGCCGCGACCAGCAGTGGTACATCAACCAGCTCATCACCATGCAGAACCAGCACGTTCTGCAGATCAATGATCTCAAAGAGGTAATTACACCATACACCATAAATACATTTGTAGCAGCTTGACGTTGTCACGTTACGTATCACGTGCGTCGTGCACTTTTGGAATCCACGATGTAAATGCGTTAGTCTTTTTACGCTGCGCTCCCTGATCACTCATTTTTCCATTCATATAACTGTGCGGTACACTAATGACGTAATCTATTCATGTCATGTACCTTGATATCTTATTTATAGTACAGTCGAGCAGCACATAAAACAGACAAAAAACAATAACTTTTTCTATCGCTGATTTTCTTCCGCCACTTCATTCTAATCTTTGTCTTATATTTATTTATTTGATCACCAACAAGGTTCACAAGAATAACTTACAAAAAGGATATCATCCCGACCCAGTGATATTAAGTACAATATTAAAAGCCTACTTACAAAAAGTAAATAAACTTTATAACTGACAACATCCAAACTATATTTCCCAGCGTCTCACCCTAGAGATGTCTCGCAACTCGCTAGCGACCGCCGCGACTCGCGCGCCGCCTGCCGCCGCTGCAACCGAACCCGACAATCCCGCACAGAATAACCCTGTCGATGGGAACAGTCTCAGCGACTCCATGGTGTTTAACCAGTGGAAGTTCAACGCGCACAACATCATGAGCGGGCAGAGGCTGGCTAGTCCAGGTTAGTGTTCTATAGCGTCTCACTCTAGAAGTGTCTTACTACTCGCTAGCAGCCGCCACAGAGACTGACAATCCCACGCAGAATAACCCAGTCGATGGGAACAGCCTCAGCGACTCCATGGTCTTCAACCAGTGGAAGTTCAACGCGCATAATATCATGAGCGGGCAGCGGCTGGCTAGTCCAGGTTAGTGTTCTATAGCGTGTCACTCTAGAAGTGTCTTACTACTCGCCAGCAGCCGCTACAGAGCTGACAACCCAGCGCAGAATAACCCAGTCGATGGAAACAGCCTCAGCGACTCCATGGTCTTTAACCAGTGGAAGTTCAACGCGCATAATATCATGAGCGGGCAGCGGCTGGCTAGTCCAGGTTAGTGTTCTATAGCGTGTCACTCTAGAAGTGTCTTACTACTCGCCAGCAGCCGCTACAGAGCTGACAACCCAGCGCAGAATAACCCAGTCGATGGAAACAGCCTCAGCGACTCCATGGTCTTCAACCAGTGGAAGTTCAACGCGCATAATATCATGAGCGGACAGCGGCTGGCCAGTCCAGGTCAGTGTGCTCTAGTGTCTCATTTTAGAAGTGTCTTGTCAATCGCTAGCAGTAGCCATGGAGTCATACAATCCCGCGCAAAATAACCCCGTCGATTGGAACAGCCTCAGCGACTCCATGATCTTCAACCAGTGGAAGTTCAACGCGCACAACATCATGAGCGGGCAGCGGCTGGCCAGTCCGGGTTAGTGTTCTATAGCGTCTCACTCTAGAAGTGTCTTGTCAATCGCTAGCAGTAGCTATGAAGCTCGAGAACCCGGCGCAGAACAATCCTGTGGATGGGAACAGCCTCAGCGACTCCATGGTCTTCAACCAGTGGAAGTTCAACGCGCATAACATCATGAGCGGGCAGCGACTGGCCAGTCCAGGTTAGTGTTCAATAGCGTCTCACTTTAGAAGTGTCTTGTCAATAGCTAGCATTAGCTATGAAGCCCGACAAGCCGGCGCAGAATAACCCAGTCGATGGGAACAGCCTCAGCGACTCCATGGTCTTCAACCAGTGGAAGTTCAACGCGCATAACATCATGAGCGGGCAGCGACTGGCCAGTCCAGGTTAGTGTTCAATAGCGTCTCACTTTAGAAGTGTCTTGTCAATCGCTAGCATTAGCTATGAAGCCCGACAAGCCGGCGCAGAATAACCCAGTCGATGGGAACAGCCTCAGCGACTCCATGGTCTTCAACCAGTGGAAGTTCAACGCGCATAACGTCATGAGCGGGCAGCGGCTGGCTAGTCCAGGTTCGTGTCCTATAGCGTCTCACTCTAGAAGTGTCTTACTACTCGCTAGCAGCCGATACAGAGCTGACAAACCAGCGCAGGACAATCCAGTCAATGGGAACAGCCTCAGCGACTCCATGGTCTTCAACCAGTGGAAGTTCAACGCGCACAACATTATGAGCGGGCAGCGGCTGGCCAGTCCAGGTTAGTGTGCTCTAGTGTCTCACTCTAGAAGTGTCTTACTACTCGCCAGCAGCCGCCACAGAGACTGAAAATCCCACGCAGGACAATCCAGTCGATGGGAACAGCCTCAGCGACTCTATGGTCTTCAACCAGTGGAAGTTCAACGCGCACAACATCATGAGCGGGCAGCGACTGGCCAGTCCAGGTTAGTGTGCTCTAGTGTCTCACTCTAGAAGTGTCTTACTACTCGCTTGCAGCCGCCACAGAGACTGACAATCCGGCGCAGAATAACCCAGTCGATGGGAACAGCCTCAGCGACTCCATGGTCTTTAACCAGTGGAAGTTCAACGCGCCTAATATCATGAGCGGGCAGCGACTGGCCAGTCCAGGTTAGTGTGCTCTAGTGTCTCACTCTAGAAGTGTCTTACTACTCGCTTGCAGCCGCCACAGAGACTGACAATCCGGCGCAGAATAACCCAGTCGATGGGAACAGCCTCAGCGACTCCATGGTCTTTAACCAGTGGAAGTTCAACGCGCCTAATATCATGAGCGGGCAGCGGCTGGCCAGTCCAGGTTAGTGTCTAGAAGACTTTGAAGACTTTTTACTGTTTGGGTAAAGTGTGGTTTTAGTATTGAAAATTAATGCATAAGGTAGATGGTTGATGGAAACCAAACCGATGAAGCTGGGCTGACAGAGCTGATGAAGATATTTGAATATTTTTCAGAAGATATAAAAAAGAGATCAGAATTTTGAGCTCGAGATCACCACATGTCTTTAAAAAACATAGTTTTAGTTGGCGTAATATTCTCATTGTTTCCTAGGCATTTTGAACACGACTATCTTCGCTGAAGACACTCGCAACAACGAGGTGTCGAGCCAGCCGGCCTACGCTTACGGGGATTACCCGCAACCGCCGCGTCTGCCGTCCCACCCGCACGCCACGCACGCGCTCGACGCCTACAACCTACCCTCTACTTCCAGGTCAGTGCATAGGTCAGAGCAAACGTGGGACTACCCAACAGACATAAAACAATAATGGTTTGCTATCACAGATTTTCTTTCGCTTCTTCATCTCAACTTTGTCTTACATTGTGCTGAACACTGGTTCAGTGATAGAATGTGTATTGAAAGCCCATTTGCAAAAAGTAAAATATTATGACCTTTATAACTGTCTGATATCCAAACTGTTTCCCAGCATCTCACTTTAGAGATGTCTCACAACTCAAACGACAGACTATCGTAAAGATTGAAAGAGAGAAGTCGATCCTTAACTTCGAACTCCTCCTATCTACTACTAATTAACTTGGCCTTCACTGGTTGGGTTTTTCTTGTCTCACTACCGAAGCCGAAATAAGTCTTGATTGTCGTCAATAGTTTTGCAGTAATTTTTAATACCGATATTTAACCCTCGATACTGGCAGGTCGGCGAATTCGCTGCACGCGCCCGGCGCAGACAGCATGGCGCTGGTCAGCCTGCATACACTTCTGAGCGCGGGCCGAGCGCCGCGCGCCGCCAAGCCGCCGCGCCTCGACAAGCGCCTCGCGCTCGCCAAGGACTCCTGCACCACGCTCACTGGTACGCGAACAATACACACATTCCCTACACGCGCCCGGCGCAGACAGCATGGCGCTGGTCAGCCTTCATACTCTTCTGAGCGCGGGCCGAGCGCCGCGCGCCGCCAAGCCGCCGCGCCTCGACAAGCGCCTCGCGCTCGCCAAGGACTCCTGCACCACGCTCACTGGTACACAAACAAACATGTTCTCTGAGAGAGAATGACAGAGCATGACACACGCAAACGCTGTTTTTTTTATTTTATTAGAGAAGCAGTCTTTTATTCACAACGGAAACACTCATCGCCTGCATCTCACCTGATAGTAGGGCCGAAGATGGAAGCGAGCTTCACTCATCATCATTTCAGACAGAGACGTCCACTGCTGAACATAGGCCTCCCCCAATGACTTCCACATCGCACGGTTAGCGGTCTGCATCCAGCGCTACCTTCACTCGGAATGCTCAAACATAGAGTATCAAGCTATCTTACCCCAACTGCCGAAACTCAACAATGGCCATATCATTGTTGTTATAGTGACAGACTTGTATCGAATCCACAAAAGTTGTTAAGATTATGATACGTCAAGTCTTTTAATATTTCTTTAAAAAACGACCATCAAAGTATAATTTATTCCAGCCGTCGCGAGTACCCCAGTGACGGAAGCGAGCCAAGCCGCAAGCAACGTGGTCCTTTGCTCTTCCATTTCGTCGCCAGAGCTGCAGGCCGGGCCGGGGGCGAAGCCCGAGCCGCAGGCGCCCGAGCCGGCCGCGGAGGCGCTGGACAGCCCCAATAATACGCAGGCGGCGCACGCGGCCTCTGAGACCAGCAGCGATACTGGGGTAAGAACTTGATATCATCATTTATTTCAGCAGCCATAAGACGTCCGCTGCTAAAACATAGGTCTCCCCCAATGATTTTCATAATGGTTGGTAGTGGCCTGAATCCAGCACCTTCCTGCTACCTTTATGCGATCGTCAATCCACCTTATGGGTGTATGTCGTCGTCCACATGGAGTGTGAATTTTTACACACTTGTACGTCGCGAGGAACATAAAATATGGCATTAAGGACATTGACAACACTGTCACTGCAATGTGCACTCTCGCTCATATTAACAACGTTCAAGTACGAATGTCGCGATGCAAACCGAAGTTAGCCGAGTAGTGAAGTCACACGCTTCGTGTTCAAACTTCGGAGCACTTCGGCCCCTTTGATTCGAGTGAGCAGTGTAGCTGATGATTCTAATACATTAGCATAAATACCGGCACGCGAAGTGTAATAGTGTTCTCTGCTAACTTCGCGAGTAGTGTAGCCGAGGTATTAACCCCTGTATTCATAAAATTACTATGTGGTCTCACAGTGCGCGTAGACGCACAGGGTGCACGAATCAATCGCAGAGCTCTATTCAACGCTGTGCGTTCGCTTTGCTGCTTCACTTAAGCAAGCATCGTTTGTGAATACGGGCGTAAACGTGTTATATCTTGGTGCGCAGGAGCTGATGTTCAGCGAGCTGGAGGTGTTCGCGGACGAAGCGGGCGCAGGCGCTGCTGATGACAACTCCAACGAGGAGAACGACGTCGACGATGAGACCATGTCCGGTAAGTACACGATCACACATTACAGGTGCATTTGTCTGCGATTATTTTCCCAGTGTATACCTATTACCATGTATTCCTCCTTTCCTTTATTACAGACACTGTTTAATTACTTTTAGTACAAGCCAATAATGATAAATGTTATAAGTTATGTTGACAATTTTAGTCATAGCTGATTTCGCTGTTATGAAAATGTAACTGTTTGAAATTATGTTATTGGCCCATATTATCAGTGACGTAGTTATGATTCACTGAGAACCGTCCCAGCTGTGACATTGTCAGGAGGGCTCTACTATCAGTACTGGGTTATTAGTTGACGTTTCAAATTCGTTTCATTATTATGTGCGGATCTCAAACCGATTAAAACATGAAATAAAACAGTTTTAAAAGTGCATAGTGCTCTTTTTTAAACGGTGTCCGTATCCCTATAACGTTTACAACAAAAAGTTAAGCCCTCCATATACCTGTCAAAACAGGAGCCAGTCCCCTCTCCATTCCTCCCCTCCCATCCCTTCCTCTATCCACAGACGGGTCGTCCGCCAGCGAGTCTTGCGAGTGGTGCGCGCTCGGGGAATCGCGGGAATCCCCCGCGTCGCTCTGCTCGGCCGTGTCAGGGGCATCGGGGGCATCAGGGGCATCAGGCGTTTCGGGCACGTCGGCACGATACTTCCGCCGACACCGCCATCCGCCGTACTCGCGACGCGCGCGTGCCACGCGACACAACCCTCACCACGAGCACAGTTGCGGAGACAATGACGGATACGCACATTAACTAACACTGATTATGCACCACACTAAGGACCAGAACAGACGGTGAAACGCAACTGCAACGAAACTGAAACTGCTAGTTACTTTTGAGTTGCATCTAAGTTTCTGCCATACATTCCGTTGAGAGACCACACATGACGCGACTAGTTTGAAACCGGTTTGAAATGGTCGCGTCATGTGTGGTCTCAAAAGCAACTCAAAAGTAGCTGGAAGTTGCAGTTTCGTCGCAGTTGCGTTTCATCGTCTGTTCTGGACCTAACGTAACACCAATCAATGTGTAATACACCACAATATGAACATCGTTGCGCGAACATGAAGTACAGCACACAAACAAAAATTACTAAAAACACCACAATACGAGCCTTGCGAAATATACGATTAGTGATCAGAATAGGCATAAAATATTAAAGCAAGACAAAACTGTTAAAACCATAAGTTGATTTGAAAAATTGAGGTGATTTCTGGTTCAAACTATTAATATAAACAAAAGCTTGACAATCACAATTCGATTACATATTTTTTGATTTAGAATAATACGACTAGACTTGTTTGAAACAAAGTCAATCCTATGTATTCCGATCACTACATGTGACGCACACATTTTATTCGAATCATACACACACTTGTGACAACATATAACATGTTCTCATACAATAACGATCAACGAAATTATCAAATAAAAATACTTCCATTTTGATTCATTACAGTGTTGATTTGTTGATTTCATTTGTTTAATTTTCTTCAAAATGTTTTCTTTTGTTTTTTAATTTATAATTATTAATTTAAGCATTAAAATTTAATTTGTAATTGTCAGTAAATCTTTCACCTTTCCATAAAAACCCAATTTATTGATTTTATTCAAACTTTTCTAACTTTGGGCGTATTCGAGCATAGACGTCTTAGCTGTTATTATGTAAAAAATCCATACAAAATACGATAATTATTTTTTTCTGCTAATGACGAGTATGTTCGAATATGCATTTTACAAATTAAATGGTTGAAGTTGTGGACAGAATTAAACAGTAAGTAGTATCTGGATGTTGTTGTCGGTACACATCAAGCGACCTCGTAAAACAACTGGCGAAAGTAACATTATCTGCTTTCCAAAATTTACTTTTCTGCCTCATTATGCTATTTGTTGACTTGTGTAGTGTAAACTAAAAACTCTGTTTCTGTGTTGCCAAAAACCTCTATTACGCCCAAGACATCCGCTAATATTTTTATCAATGCATCATTACTCGTTAGGTAGCCGTAACTTCAGTTAATTTTCAGGATCAGTCCGCTTTGTATTTTATGAAGTCTTTGACCTCATGGTTAAATTATAAATAACTTGAAAAAATCGAACTGTCTAAGGCGGGAATTGAACCCACGACCGGGCGACTGCTCTTCCAACTGAGCTAGTACTTAGACACTGGATGAACCCCTCAATTCCCGCCTTAGGCAGTTCGATTTTTTCAAGTTATTTATAATTTTCAAATTAGTTTGAGATGCGACTCTTAATAAACTCATGGTTTCTTCCAGTCCAGGGAACATATTAATATAGCAGTTGAGACATGAGAGTAAAGTCGCGAAAGTAAGTAGTTTCTGTTAACAAATTCCTTATTCGTGCAATAATTTCGCCGGCTGTTTTCCGTTGATATCTCAACGCTTGGTGTGTACCGCTTACTACTCCGTTTTAAACCAAAGCTCACTGTTTCCCCATCCCCAGGAGAGAACGACATCGAGGGCGCCGTCGCGTGGGGCCGCGCCGGCGACGCGGGCAGCGACATACTCAGCCGCCTGCTGTGCGCTGTACAGACGAGAGGAGTCACTGGTATGTGTAATGTGTAACATACTTTTACCACAGAATAATAATAAGTACTACGTACAGAAGTTTTACTTCGCGAAGGTATTTAAAAAAATGTATGCTCAATGTCATTAACAATATGGTGTAATTTAGCCTGTCTCAAAAGAGTCAAGCACCATTTTGTTGACAAACGTCAGTGATCGGCACTGCGCCGAAGCTATAGGGCTGACTTCGGTAAAATGATGTGACGTGAGGTGCCAAACTGCGGAAAATGGCGGAGGAAATACATGATTTAGCATGAATTATCATGAATAATATTAACTACTTATTTACTTCTCAGTGTCTTGAGGCAACTTAAAAATGTACATTCTGTGTTTTTATTATTATTTAGGCAGTTAAATACTGCACAGTATTTAGTACAGCATTTTCTTTATTTTCTTCCATCATACACAAGAATACGCGTGCGTGAGCCAATGTTCGCTCGTATGTGAGTCCTTGTCAAATAGTATCCTGTAGGTGGGCCATCGTGCGTGTTTTGTTTTCGATGTAAGCTCGCGGAGATGAACAGGCCTGCTTTTACTTAAGGTTAATGGTATGGTAACGGACCGATGGTCTGTTGAAGGGCGTGGGATGTACCTGAATGAGGACAGCGCAGGATTGGTTTTTATGAAATTCTTGGGGGAGGCCTTTGTCCAGCATTGGACGTCATTTGGCTGAAACGAACGAACGAATAGACGTGGATGGGTCCAATAGACGCCGTCATTACGTGTTTATATTTTTTTACGAACACGTACACGTAATGATGGCATTTGATGCCGGCATAAGCGTTTGAGAGTCTACCATAAAACTTGCGGCAGTGGCCGACCTCCCCAGAAACTCGTCGCACGCGTCCGCATCACACTGCACTATTTATACTGATTTACTGTAAGCCTTGATTGTTAGCGTCCAGGCTACAGTATCTAAATAAGATTGCACACCTACTAGATGAGTACGCGGAAAATTTTGTTCTTACAAAATCTATTAAATAAAACTCATAAAAATGTAGGCTTTTAAAACGCACTTTTACACGTCCCAGTACCCCTACCACTGTTTCGGGACAGTAAATGGGTCAGTGCTGAGAAGAAACAGCGCAGTCAGTCACTAAGGCTGGTTTTAGAATCACGCTGACGCACGCTAACCGTCAGCGCTGATAGCCGAAATGTATGGAGCGTCGGCGCCGAGCGATCAGCGTCACTCAGAAACGTTCTCTTCAATTACATACATTTTGATTTGTCAGCGCCGACGATCAGCGAGCGTTCAGCGCGATTCTAAGACTTGATTTCCTCCTACGCTGACGTCGGTCGCGTACATCGGTCGAGCGTACGAATAAACACAATGTTCTATGAAGCACCGCACTGCAACGCCGTCGTCAGCGGCAGATGATTACATATACTCGGAATTATAATTCGATTCCACATTTGACAATTTCAGTGTTGCAACGTTATGACAAGTACTAAATAGTGACGTTGCGAAATTATTCGATATGGAAATGGAATATTTCCGGATCGATTCTTCTCGTTTATAATTTTACTCTCGTAAACTAATTATATCAGGAAATTAAATATTTCTGAACCGATAATTTAGTTTTGACGATTAACTAACGATCTGAGACTTTTCTTTTATAATTGTGTGTGTAATAAATAAAAAAATGTGATCTTGAAGGAATCAATAATTTAGTCTTTAATTGGCACACTGATGGCACGGCACACACACTGATTGTTTATCGATTTTTGTGTACACATCACTACACTATTATATGTGGTATCATTATTTCACAAAATGACAGTAGCTAATGTCAAATGTGGAATCGAATTATAATTCCGACTTTAGAACTAGTGTGTAATCGTGCGCGCCGCTGACGTCGGTCACCGATGTCAGCCTAAAAGGAAATCAAGCCAGCCTAAATATTGTTACGTTCTAGGTCACGGCGGCGTGACGCCGGCGGGCACGGACGGGTCGGCGCCGGCGCCGGTGGCGCGGCCCGAGCACGACCCGCAGCTGTCCACGGCCGCGCACACAGACATGCTGCTGCTAAACCTCATGCGCATTAACGGCCTCACGCCCAAGCACGCGCGGCACGGTCAGTACTATAGAACAGTACCTCTAGTAGGAAAAACTTTCGAGTTCGTTTCGTTGCGTATTCAAAGTGTCATCGAAAAATTTTGTATGAAAAATTAAACAGCGCCCCCTATATTATAGCCGCCCTAGGGGGCGCTGTTTAATTTTTCATACAAAATTTTTCGATGACACTTTGAATACGCAACGAAACGAACTCGAAAGTTTTTCGTACTAGAGGTACAGGTGTCATAAGGCGTCGATTATTTGACGACTGATGTTGCTGGCCTGCTCACAAAACTTCATAGTGTGCATTCGTAGAACCTTGCTGCCCCATCGGCCGTCAGTTCTACGTATTATGTGCCCTGCCCAATGCAATTTCAGCTTGCTAATCCGTCGGGCTATGTTAGCGACTGTAGTTCGTTTACGGATCTCCTCATTTCTGATTCGATCTCGTAAAGAAACACCGAGCATATGCCCTCTCCATAGCATGCTGTTCAACTTTGATCTTCTGTATAAGGCCTATAGTGAGAGGCCACATGAAAAGCATTGGAGGAGGCCTATGTTCAGCAGTGGACGTCTTATGGCTGAGATGATGATGATGATGATGATGATGATGTTGATATGCATTCGTAGCATGCACATAATAAATGCCAGCCTGCAATTGGCTTAAATCGACAGCTCGCGAAAAGTACATACTGTAGCCCGGCTGTACCACGGTAAAAATTGGGCCAATTTGTATAAATTCGGATAGTAATTATAATTATAATGTCTTTTTTCTTAGAAAATTGATTATGTCAAGTTATTATAAAAATATATATAAATTCAACGTTACCTACAGGTCCAAAACGCCACTGGGCAGCCAGCACCCAAAGCCCCGAAAGCGAGCACCGCTCCCCAACCAACAGCGGGCAGGGATCGCGAGGGCCGCGCCGCGCTAGCAACGCCGCTTCCCGCTCGCGTCGCTTACCCCGCACGCCTATGTTGTCCCCGGGGCAGTTACGGCATACGCATCATAATGAACCAGTGAGACCTGCAGGTAAGCGTCATTTGAGTTGTTTACGCCCGAAGTCCTAAGAGCGAGCTTTGCTCTCCAACCAGCGGTGGGCCGAGAAGCTTGTCTCTCGCCCCGCCTGCCACGCACGCCTATGTTGTCCCCGGGGCAGTTACGGCATACGCACCATAGTGAACCAGTTATACCTGCCTGTAAGCGCCACTAGATCGATGGCACCCAAAGCCCAGAGAGCTAGTACCGTTCTCCAACCAACAGCGGGCAAGGCTCGCGAGGGCCGCGCCGCGCTAGCAACGCCGCTTCCCGCTCACGTCGCTTGCCTCGTACGCCTATGTTACCCCCGGGGCAGTTAAGACATACGCATCATAATGAACCAGTGAGACCTGCAGGTAAGAGCCATTAGAACGACAGTACTCAAAGTCCCGAGAGCGAGCATTGCTCTTCAACCAGTAGTGGGCAGTGGAGCTTGCGCCAGCACTACCGCGTCACGCTCGCGTCGCTTACCCCGTACGCCTATGTTGTCTCCGGGGCAGTTAAGGCAAACCCACCATAGTGAACCAGTGAGACCTACAGGTAAGAGCCATTAGAACGACAGTATCCAAAGTCCTGAAAGCTCACTCCGCTTACCCGCTTTGCAACCTAAGCAGCTGCAGCATAGAGTGACCATACCACAGTGAATCAGTGAGATCTGCAGTTCTGCAGGTAAACGTAGTAGGTAGGTAGGTAGGTCAAGGTGGTAAATTGTATACGATCCAGTCGTCAAACTACTATTACAAGCGACACTGTATTTACCTGTAATGCCTTGGCCATACCAATACGCCTAGGATGCGCGCCGCGATAAGCGGTTATCACGCCATTTTATTGATTTTGCTCATACATTTTGACGCCAATAAGAGTATTATATCACGGCGCGGATCCTAGCCCGACAGGAGACTTTAAACTGTTGTGTGGTGACTGACAAATAATATTGAAAGTGCGAAAGCTTTCGCACCTGACTTAGCAAGTATTTTGTCCAAGGTTTATTTCAGATGTTATTTTTTTATTTCAAAAGATGCACCTATAAATAAATCTATCTTCTTCACACTATTTATTTCTATCCTCAGAGCCCGACCGCTCGGGGCACTGCTCGGGCGCCGGCGCCGGCACGTCTGCGATCTCGACGGAGCGCGCGTCGTCGCCGGCGCTCGCGCTGCACGACTACTGGCCCTCCGTGTCGTCCGTCAGCGACAATGACGAGGTCGAACTCATTTTGGACTACAACGTAAATATACACTTCACTACTGCTTTGTAACCACTCGTGTGCTGACTGCTCCGGTAATGGTCTTTGGTATAGTCTGGTCTGTGAGCATGTAGAATTTTGTCCAATGACCCCAAGCTACCCATCCTTATCGCTCGTGCGTAATTATATTGCTGTCGCGACTGTGCGACGGGCGCCCGCAGTGAGTGTGCGAGTGTGCGAGCTTGGGGTCATTGGACAAAATTCTACGTGCTCACAGACCGGGCTTAATACACAGAGTAAAAGCATGAGTATTATGTGTAGTTCCAAGGTGAATACATTGGGAAGATCTCACAGGGCAGATATGTACCATCCTAGACTCCATCTTAACACCAGGTTGCGACCAATATCTGCCTTGTCCTGCATAAAAAAATCTTGTAAAGTTACAGTCAGCGTCAAATAGTTCATGACACCCAAAGCGGTCAAAACGTAGAAAACACTTATTCTAATTTTAATAAAGACGTGTGCGAACTTTTTGGCTACTTACGGTGTCACGAACTGTTTGACGCTGACTGTATACAGAAACAATTATTATTGATGAAAAGCGTCTTTCTTCTCATTAATATTATTGTTACTGTATGCCTTTACAAGACCCTCCAAGTGTATTGATTTTGGGTCTGTCACATTATACTATCGAAAATAAAGGAAAGCGTTTAATACCTTTTATCAGATATTAATCATAATATACGTAGACGTCTGACCATTATTGGAGCAGTGCTTGTTTTAGCAGCTGAAGACAGCAACACTAACAGCGGTGGGCGCTTACGACTTTGTGACGTGAATTATGGTGAAGCTTCTTACTTATACACTTATGTATTCATTTTTTTACATTTACTAATACTTTGTTTTTGCACATCTTGGTGGAATCAGGTTTCCTACTCCTAAAATATACAGAAGAATCCCTCCACTAATTTTCATTCGAATATACTGTTATGACCCGTCTATCCCAGTGTATATTTTAATATCCACACTATAAAGATATCAATAATATAGCTTGTTTGTAATACACTTTATTCTTTGTGTTTCGACTCTAGAGTCGGATTTGTGCGGGGAGAGAGGTGACTGACCTCACCACGTCCTGTTTGAATTCTCTCGTATGTTACTAATATTAATTATGTGTATAGATAATATGCTATACTACTCATTTATTTTCATATTCTTTTTATTGATATAATTTTAGATTATCTCTTTTGAACTGCTTCTAAAATAACCCTAAATTCTTTCGTTCATCAGTAAAATTACACTAGAATTTGTGTTGCTTTATTAATATGGCTTGTGAAACTGTTACTTCAATGTATTTTATTAATAGCATGACTGTTATAGATATGGTTTTCTTTTCTGATTCCGAATAAATAAAATTAACTATCCACATTTATCAATGTTCAACAAAAATAATTATTACTAGCATGATTATTTTTCGTGTAATACAAATTAATGTGAAATTATGTAGTATTGTTTGCTGCATTCGCAACAATAATTTGATGGTCCAATTAATGCAACTTCACATTTAGAGCGCTCGGGCATTTGGCCTCTAGTCGCCGCCGTTGAGTGGTCGCGTCTGAGCTATGAGCAAAAATTCTTGAAATTGTGTCTACTATAATTATTATTGCTGACGGGATTGCTACCATGTACCTGACCTTAATTTTGAGTTTCCGATATTTCGGCACTGTTGCAAGCGCCATGGTCACAGAGTAACTGAGGAAACTTGCGGGTGAGATGTAATTGTAGCAATTCCGTCAGTAATATAATTATGTTAGTGACTATGAAAGTTTAAAACAATATTGTGGCTACTAGTGGTCAAGTGCAGTTACTTTATACTAACAACCCACCTCCAATAACAGGACACGCTCTTCGATATGCTGCTGAACACGCTATCCCTGGAGAGTCCCGGCGCCGCGCCGGAATGCCTGGGCTCCGAAACCGGCGCGCGCGCCGCCACGCCGCCGGTTCAGCCGTGGTCGCCGCCGTCGGCGCCGGCGCAGCGCGACTTGGACTGACCCGGCGTGCCCCAACACCTGTGCGTGTGTTTCGCCGCGCCCGCCCGCTACCGTCGCGAGTACCACCACTGATAGGCTTGGTTTCGAAAGAGGTTCCCAATTTGCGTAGACGCAGATTTTGACTAGGCTAGCTCGGTCTCAAACTGCGTATCCCCGCGAAATTGCGTTGACGCAGATTTTGACTAGGTAAACTTGGTCTCAAACCGCGTGGGTCCCCGCGAAATTGCGTTGACGCAGATTTTTATTAGCAAGCTCGGTGTCAAACCGCGTGGCTCCCCGCGGAATTGCGTTGACGCAGATTTTGACTAGGTAAGCTCGGTCTCAAACCGCGGGAGTTCCCGCGAATTTGCGTTGACGCAGATTTTGATTAGCAAGCTCGGTCTCAAACCGCGTGGGTCCCCGCGAAATTGCGTTGACGCAGATTTTGACTAGGTAAACTTGGTCTCAAACCGCGTGGGTCCCCGCGAAATTGCGTTGACGCAGATTTTTATTAGCAAGCTCGGTCTCAAACCGCGTGGGTCCCCGCGAAATTACGTTGACGCAGATTTTGACTAGCTAAGCTCGGTGTCAAACCGCGTGGGTCCCCGCGGAATTGCGTTGACGCAGATTTTTACTAGGTGAGCTCGGTCTCAAACCGCGTGGAACCGCAGAATTTGAGGCGTAAGCTTGGTTTCACACCGCTGTCGATTTGTCTGCGTAGGCCCAGATTCCACACAGTACTGTGGTGCTGTGTTTGTAGGTCCCCGTGTTTTTGGATGAAGGAATATTTTATTTCTTTTCTCGTTTTCGATGTGCTGATGCAATGGACATGGCGNAAAAAAAAGATTTACTTTGACAGGTGACAATAAATCCATAGACATTTGCCATATGAAAGACACACTTTTCCAATATTTTTGTTTATTTATTTATTTGAACACCAACATTACATTACATTACATTGTTTACCATGAGATTCTGGTACACCTATACCTATCATTTAATGAAAAGATAACCAACTGCAGTTCTGACTTCTTTGTGCGTCCACTACACATACAATAAAATTCGAACTATCGCACATTTTTTCTTTTTAATTCTAATTCAGTAAAAAATGTTTTTGAAACCTTCATTCAAAATTCAAAAGTTATTATCATATGACAGAACTTATGACCAGACTATGTACATTGAATAAAATATTTTTCTCTATAACATCAAGCTTAGCAGTCTAATAAGTTACTATGACACTCGAGTTAATCCACATTCAGCACCATAGCCTCCCCTTCTACAAGGCCCTCTACAAATGTCAAAACGTCACTTAACCCTTTTAGCACCAGTTCTTTTGTTTTTGAGAAGATGTACCCAAATTTTTATATCAATTAAATTATAGTCCAGTCGTTTGATACAAATTAACGTGGTTACCTGGAAAGTATTCAGGGAGTTTTGAAAATTGGTGATTAAAATAGATTTCGCTATGCTCTCTGTTAGTCTGTTAGTTAAGTGTGATTGCCGTGCTCGTTGCGAAATTGGAAAAATGCTGCCTGAGAGAAGATTTTTGATAGTTACATTCTTTCCTATTTCGTCGTTACAGCCAAATGACGTTCACTGCTGGACAAAGGCGTGAATCCTTTGGGTTTTCCATAGGTTTTTCATAATGAACAGTCCTGCGCTGCCCGCATTTAGGTTCTTCCCGCGACCTTTACCAGATCGTCGGTCCACCTAGTAGGAGGCATGCCCACGCTACGTCTTCCAGCCCGTGGTCGCCACTCAAGAAATGTTTTGCCCCATTGGCCATCGTCTCTACGAGCTATGTGTCCCACCCACTGCCACTTGATTTTAGCAATTCTGCGTACTATGTCGGTCACTTTGGTTCTCCTGCGGATCTCCTCATTTCTGATTCGATCACGCAGGGAAACCCCGAGCATAGCCCGCTCCATCACCCTTTGGATGACCTTGAGCCTTCTTATGAGGCCCATAGTAAGCGACCACGTTTCAGAACCTTAAACTTTCCTATTTATTTCACGACTAGCTTTTGCCTGCGGCTTCACCCGCGTGAAATTTAGTGTCACAGATCGGCATAAATTATAGCCTATATGTTAATCTGGGTTACAAACAATAATATTGTACAGTTTCAACAAAATCCGTTGAGTACTTTTTGCGTGAAAGAGTAACAAACCTGAGACACAGGAATCTTCCTAGTTCAGGTATCAACCCACCAACATTCTTACTTTTTGTTTTTCCTGATTGTTTGTTATCATAATATTATCTGTTATGTTGGTGAGAAATAAACATTACTTTACTTTATTTTAAACTTCCAGACATCCAAACTTTCGCATTTACCTATAATATTAGTAGGATACAATAATTATGTAATGTAGAAACAAACAAGACAAAAAAAATGTATACCAGCAACGCGAATTTTTTTATACTTCAGCATATTTAGGACACCCGGCAGAGTGTCCTGCCATGATCAAAGAAAAAAGAACTCGCAATTTAGCAGGTACATTAATTTGACTGTTTCACAACTCTAAATCCATTTAACTTACATTACATGAAATTTATCACATTTATCAAAGCTTCTTAGCTTGTCTATGTTCCAAAAATTATAAAATGAAAAAAGTAGTTGTCAAAAACCTTTTTTAAGGCGGTTTTTTTTTTCAATAAGGCGGGCGCGCGCGCGTCTATAAACGAGGTCACAAAATTCGGAAACAACATAGCGTAATCTATTTATTTACCAATTTTCAAAAATTTCGGAAAGCTTTCCAAGTAAAATTAACAAATAACTGGACTATTTACTCGTTATTGAGCACAGAGACACAAACTTGGTTATTTTTCCAGAAAATTTATATTTAAGTGCATAAATGTAAAAATGGCTTCATATTGCACAAAATTGGCAATAGGTGGCATAATAATGGTTACTTTTTTAGCGCCTAGTTTGAAATGTGATTGAACGATGACAACTAACAACAGATGTCAGTTAGGTAAAATTTTATTTTAGAGTGAAAAGACAAAAAGTGGTAAATGGGTTAACGTGCGGGGGCTGCAAAATCATGTTGTGACGTCACGCGCGAATATTGGAAATTTTTGAAAATTTTAAAAAGTCCGTGAACTTCTCGAGGCTCTATCTTCGGTAATACTGGATGGATTGAGGTGAAATAAAAACTAATGTAATGTGTGTGATCTAAACTTTAAATTAAGTCATAATTTAACTTAATATTACAACTTATGCGTGTTGTCCATTGTAGGCATTATTAATGTGTTATGAATGGAAGATGGCGTCGCCTGAGCATTTGTGGTTCATTGTTAGTCATTAAATGTGGACCCTCAGCCTATGCGTGCTTAAGTGTATATCGGGTGGGTGTAAAAGCTCTCTCTTGATGTAAGTAAATTCAATTGATGTTGAGAATTATTGTTCTGAACTCTATAATGTTGCTACATTTTGTTCAATGGCTATATTATATTCTAGAAATGTCTATGGTTGACATTTTGAAACTAATTTTCATCAGATATTCGCATTATCATATAAAAAGCTTTCCGAGATAAAGAATATCTCTGTGCTTAATGTAAGTGTGCATGTTGCTGGATAAACATTAAAACTTCTTACAATGTCGAGCCCCCCGATGTATGCATTCCATTCTATGAACATGTGTTCTTATACTGTTTTCGCTCTTAAATGGTACTAGGAGAACATCAAGGCTTAACTGACAAGTTTGGTGGACATGTTAATCAGAGATGGCATACCGACTTTTTATTTGTTAAAATGTTGAGGTTTAAAATATGTCCATCTAACAGTACTAATACGCCTGAGCCTTTTTAACTTGTAGCTAGAATTCACAAATTGATGATGAATTTTTAGATACTAATCTTTCGAAATGTAGATAGGAAATCACAAATAAACCTTGTCACAAAAATATATATTTGGCGATGAATTAAAACATAATGAGGCAAGCTTTTATGTCTTAGCTATGATGACATTAGCGTTTTTGATCAGCAACCTATTCAAAGGCCACTGCAGGCTACTTATCGTGCTGACACTTATAGCCGAATTATTTATTTATACTCATAATGATATTTTTATTTTGCTAGAGAAAATACCTCTTGCCTCTACTTATTTTTTTGTTGTTGTATGGTAAATAAGATTTGTTTTATTAGTTCTAATCGCTTGGAAAGATAAGTACTGCTTGTGTGTATGTGTGAACTGTTTATTATTTTAATGGGCATTAAAATTCTAAAAGATCTCTTAATATTTAGACGGGAAAGTACTAACGAAAATATCTAAAGAAATTACATTAATGACTGATTTGTGTGCTAGGTACATTTTATTTGATAATTATCTGCATTTATTATAATATGTATTTCAAATTACTATACGTTTATTGTTGTTAATGTAAGTATGTGAAATTTTATCCTGTACCATAGTTTCAGTGTCTGTAGTGGGAGTGTTTCAAATAATATTACAAATAGTCTTTAGCTGTAATAACAATAAATAAGCAGTATTATACAAATATCCGAATAATATAAATATATAATTTGTATCAATTGTGAGAGTTTTCTACATTTTGTTCGGTTTATTGACAGTCTACATAATTTAAATCAATCAGTTTCATGATATTAGTAATTTAGTTAAATAAAATCTAAACACAACTTCTGTAATATGGTTTATTATCATGTAAGATTGCCGTTACTACTTATGACGAAGGGGCAATGCCTCTATTAGCTTTTTGGTGTTTTGTGTAATGCTATGGTACGTTTACTTTAGATAAATTTAGGTCGACCAGGGGCTGCCTTGCTTGCTGTCACGAGAACACTTGCTTTTTGTTATGACAGATGTTAATTTCAGGGTCTAATTTAACTTTGGAGTGTGATCTCAATCTGTAACTACGGTCGACCTTGAAGGCTCATCTCGATAATGTTATAGTTCAAATTGAATGTTGCGATTGGCCCATGACTGCTGTGGGCCCAGTTAGCAGTGTATTTAACCACTTATTGTTAGTTGAGTAGTTTGATTTGACTGAAATGTTCAAACTGTGTGATCGCTTTAGTTAAGCTGTTTTGAGTACTGAGTAATGTTAAGGTACGAGCATTAGCACAGTTCTGGATAATTACCTGATAAACAACGGTGTGTATGTACGAATAACTGGACTAATGCAGTAAGCTGTAGGTAGAATTATGCTGAATGAAAAGTTTATAAACTCTAAAAAATTCTGGGTACAACTTCGATCCTTACACTTGGTGAATGAAAATTATATTTTTGATTCTGTGTCGTGAATGACTAGATGTTAATGTTTATTCGATGAACGTAATATGAAATAAAACACTATAACACAGTATACTGGCATTTTAAACTAACCCCTATCCTGCTATTCACAAAAAATACGTAAATCACACAAGTCAAGTTTTAGACACTTATTAAATGACATTATTGATAATATATTCAAATTTATTTCAAATGAAAGTTGTTAATTTGAACTTAGTTTGATAAAATAATACGAGAAAATGGACATGCCAATTAAAACTTTACAAGTCTTTGCCAACTTCACGTTGTATGCTGCCTGAGGTGCCAACTTCACGTCGTATTTTGGTTGAGGTACCAGGAGTGCATAGGACAAAATAGTAGTATGTTATCTGTGGCATAGAGAAAGAGAGATCAAAACATCCTCTTTCACAACCTGAAATGGCATGATCTGCTTCCAAATAGGTGGGAAAGAGACAAATGTATTAAGCATTGTTCATCGTCAAAAATATAGTGGCAATATGTGGGTAGATGTGATTTATTAAAGCGAACGATTGATCTCGTGAGACAAAACATATGTGTTGCCAGCTGTTAGAGAGAGATGGAATGTGTGAGTAGTGATGTTCAAAGCAAACTCCTGCGCACTTCTGTGCTCCTAGTACCAGTGCGCAGGTGTAAACTAATTTAGTATGGATAAAAACGCTAGTTTATTGAATACTTGTCGGTTTCTCTGTAAACATGCAAAGTAGTTCTACAGCTTATGAATGTAGAAATGCAGCCTTATGAATGTTTTATTTTTCTGAACACACATTATTCTAATAACGGGTGACTATGTTCATAAAACAAACACATTTCACTTCCTTCCCACACAAACTTCAATATGCAGTCAATTATTAACTTTGTTTTGTTATTTATTTATTTCTATTTATCACAAAATACTAAACTAAATTAACTGTATTCCTTATTTCCTGATACATATTCAATATCACTGAACTCAAGATTTAGCCACATATTATCATAATGACGTTAATAATGATAATATTGAAATTAATTTCAAATGAAAGTTATAAAATAATAAATTAGGACAAGATGGACATACATGTCAATAAAAACTACGCAATATTGCCAACTTTACTTCGTATTCTGGATGAGATACCAGGAGTGCATCATAGGACTAGTAGTATGTTATGTGTGGCATAGGGAAAGAGAGATAGCAGAACAACCTCTCTCACAACCTTAGGTATGCCGCATCATGATGCTATTCTAAATAGGTAGAAAAGAGACAAATGTATTAGACTATGTTCCTCGTCAATAAAAATAGAGGCAATATGTGGGTAGATGTGATTTATTACAGCGAGCGATCTTGTGAGACAAAGCATATGTATTGCTAGCGGCTAGAAAGAGATGTAATGTATGAGTAGTAATATTCTAAGCAACTCCTGCGCACTTCTGTGCTCCTGGTAGTACCAATTTTCTAAACTGACATTATCCTAGTAAGAAAATGCTAGTTTTGCATTAAAATTTTGTTTCTTTTATGGTTTATGGCTTACCAAGTTTAAGAAAGACGTTTTAAGAATTATTTTTCCGAACTCGTTATTACCGGACCGACTGAAATGGCCTATGCTCATAAAACGAACACAAACTTCGTTAAGTAGTCAATTGTTAACTTTGTTAAATATACTTACTTATTTATTTCAAAACAACTTGAATTAGTAAAAAAAAGTTCCTTCTTCAGTACTGTATGACATGAGACCCGCCTAATGTTCGTCCTACCTGCTTAGATCTTGCATTGGCCTTCCAATAATAACAGTTCTGCTTAATATTTACTTTTTATTTACTTATTCAATAATATTACAAAATAATAATATGATTTTTCCATGTACTACTGGTACTATTACCACTGAAAAACTAAATAAGTAGAAATAAGCTGTAGGACTATTTTGCACGTAGCAAATGTTTAATAGAGAAATCGACAAGTTCTCAATAAACTAGCCTTTTTATCCACACAAATTGGTTTACATACGCGCACTGGTACTAGGAGCACAGAAGTGCGCAAGAGTTTGCTTTGAATATCACTACTCACACATTCCATCTCTTTCTAGCAGCTGGCAATACATATGCTTTGTCTCACAAGATCAATCGTTCGTTTTAATAATTCACATCTACCCACATATATTGCCACTATTTTTAGACGATGAACATAGTTACTATAATACATTTGTCTCTTTTCCACCTATTTGGGAGCGCATCATGCCTTTTCAGGTTGTCAAAGAGGATGTTTTTTCGTCTCTTTCTAGCAGCTGGCAATCTATATTTTCGTCTCTTACAATATAATTCATTCAAAGATTGTGACGTATGATACATTCGTCTCCTTTGCACTTATTTGGAGGGGTATGATGCTTTCTCCGGTGGTGGGAAGGGGCTTTACGTTTCGGACTAGCTCTTTTTGTTATGCAGCCCTGGTACTTTTGATTGCGCGGCTATGTGATTGTAAGGTTAGTTTTTGTTTGCTTGCCAAATTTTATAGCTATGCAACTTCAAGGAATAATGTTTCTACCTACAAAGAAAGTTATATTTTTTGTGGGTGTATATTATTAATGATTGTAAAACAAACACTGTTTTAAATGATTCAATATTTTATTTCCATTGCTCCAAAATATACACAATGACAAGTATATCGTAAACCTGGATAAGTTTACACATTTGCAAATGTCTTTAATAGGTGGTTATTTTTAATTTCATAGTTGATTACACGAAGAACATGAATAGATTGTTTGAATACAAATGTTTTGCAAGCGGACTCGGCGCGGGCGCACGCCGCTACTGCCGCCTATCCTCTACTTAGAATATTCAGTAAAATTAGTAAATTCACTGTTCCTACATTAAATGATATATTTACAAATAAAACTTTAAAAGGAACGCTTTGCAAACATTCAACAAACTTGAGATCGTCTTAACGTAAAGATGGTATAAAATTTAAAAAAAGTTAAAGAACGAAAGTCAAACATCATTTTAGGACAAAATATTTACAAGAATAATTACAATTTTATAAAAGGAAATTGTGCCAAATCACATTTTACAGCTTCCGAAAATAAATAACAATTGAATTTAGCCTAAAATACTTCTCTTTGATACATAAACAAAACAATAAAAAATAATTGCATTCAACAAAGCTACAATAACAAATTTAATATAAATTAATCGTAAAAGAAATGTACAATTTTTACAAAGCTAAAGGGATCACTTTCATCATTATCACTGTAATGTAGTGTTACGTCAGTTAGTCGCATTAGACGCTATTGGATAAACATATTGTAACATAGCGAATATAAATGTAATAATAAGTTCATGTAATGCGTTACTATTTACAATCGTTACTCTATGCCGAAGCTTTACATTCTACTTGCTTGTCGTCTCCTATCAATAATGGGAAATCTTATGCTCCAGAATAATATTCAAAAAGTTTAATTAGGGAGACTACAGGTAACTTTAATATCCGTAAAATATTTATTAAATTGAGAATATAATTGTGCATAAAATTCAAATCAGCTACAACTATTGTAAAGGCAAGTAGGTGATGTACGCATTTTTCATAATATTATTTGATAATCACTATTGAATTTCTATTCCGAGCTACCTACGAATATACCTACGCATTACTTAAATTAAGTGGTGTTATAATGTCTGGTCATATATTCTGTACCCTCATGGGTTGTATCACTTATCATTAAAATTACGCCCGAGGGCAATATTATCTAATAAAATTTCATTGTCTGTACTAACTATAACTCTAGTAGCACTAATTTAATGTATATTATGCATTTCATTTGCACTCTCATGTCCTACAGCGACTCCGTAAAAAGTAGTTCAGTACCTACAAAGGGAGTCGAGCTACAAACGTGTAGTTTGCGAACAATCTAATGACAATGGTAGTTATGTACATACACAATACAATATTTTGCTATTCTTATAGGTGTGTTCATTTCCTTGATATGGTTGCTTCGTTGAAGTTCCACAGCACACGAGCTAGTCCGCCGCGCCGCGCCGGGGCGCGCCGCACACTTCATACTCAATTGTCAGTTTCATTATCATTCTTTGGCATTATTTAGTGAGCTAAGTTCTTTTAGGCTTCCAACTAACAAATTCTTTTCATTTTAGAAATAATTCTACTACACGACGTTAACCGTATTGCACTGTTAATATAATAAAATTTATGAATCACTTTCGCTTTGTATATTATCATACATAAAATTAACCTACGCTTCGTTACACATGATAAAGTTGAAGATTTGAATACAGGGAATTTAAAATTCACATCGTTCATCGTTGACTTACACGAGTTGAGTATTCGTTTGTATATTTAGATAACAGGTATAGCTCTATGAATATTTGTGACCTAATCTACTCAGTCGATTGAATCAAATCAAAATAATAGCCTCTCTCTGGTCGAAAGCGTCGAACCGTCAGTGTCGTTTCGGTACCGGTCAAGGTGAGGGTCAGCAGAACGAGCGCGACGCTCCCGCGGCCTGCCCGGGCCGGCGAGGCGCGTCTCGTGGGAGCACACAAAAGAAATCCGTCGAAGCACCAGCCGAGTGCGAGCCGCCGACTCGGCCTCAGAGCGAGTGCGAGTGCCGGGCTCGTGGGCGGGCCCGCGCGGGTCACACGTGCGACTCGAGCGGCGGGCGCGGCGGCGGCACCAGCGGCTGCGGCCAGGCGCCGGCCGTGAGGTCGGGCGACGACGTGCGCGTGTGGCGCGCGCTCCAGCCGTCCTTGTCGAAGTCCTTGGTGCCGCCGACGGTGTGGCGGCGCTTGATGCCGCGCTCGGGCATGCCGTTCTTGCGCTTGAGCTTGGTGGAGCGGCTGGCGGGCTCGCGGCGGCGCACGCCGGGCCAGTCGGCGGCGCGGCAGTTGAGGCTCTCGGAGCGCAACACGCGGCCGGGCGGCGAGGCGGCGCGCTCGCGGGCGGGCGCGGGCGCGACGGCGCAGTTTTCTTTCTCGGAGTCGTCGGGGTCGTCGCGGCGGCGGCGCGGCCATCGCTCGGGCTCGTCGCTGCTGGAGGAGGAGTGGCGCGTGTCCCGCGCGAGCCAGGCCGCCTTGAGCTCGTGCGCGCGCGCCGCGGGCGAGGCGGGCGAGGCGCGCGACGACGCGTCGGACCGCGAGCCGCTGTCGCTGGACTTGGCCTCCTCGGGCTCCTCCTGGCACTCGTCCGCGTACGGGATGCTGCCGTCGTCGAGCGGCGACGAGTTGTTCAGCGTCCGCAGTTTCTGGTCGAACGTGCTGGTCAGAGACGACACGAGGTCACCGGCCCCTGCGGGAGAACAATAATATTACGTGATGTTACGACAGTCGAGGCGGTGGACAGTGATCAGATGGCGCGTTTTTGTCGCGTTGAAATCGAACGGTTGAATAAATATGAAACTAAAATACAACACACGGAAACAACGAATTATACGAGTAAAAAGCATCATCTGGACACTATCTCAGTTACGAGTAGGTACATAAGCGTGTTAGAGTCGTCTGTGTCGTTAAGTGATACGGGTCGATGGAGATGAACGGTATGTACAGTGGGATGCGATGAAGTGTCCTGTCTTTCGATGCGCGCGCACAGAAGCCGTGCTGTCAGCGGCCGCTGTTCTAAGCGTTAGTTGACGGAGCGACGCGGCTCCGTTGTTTACGCTTTCGAATTCAAGATGAGTCTTAGTAATAATTGATTACTTTGACAGCATTAGTTTATAGTAGTAGGCGCTTATTCGGGTGGCATTCGTTGTAAATGAGAGTTAACACCAACAGAAATTATTCGGCCTCGAAGGACAGTTCCGATTGTCGATCGAATCCGAATAAATCTGATGTGTGCTTGAATCCTTAACGAATGCCACCTTTTGCTAAATTAATATGCACACGTAAACAAAAGAAGCCGTGCCGACTGGCGCGTACACGCACACACTTGCAACACGCTCGCATTCCTATACCTTGGAGTGTGGACAAAAGAAAGGGATTGCTGTGTCTACTCTCTGACGTCAGAACTGGACACCTAGTGGGGCAAATAAGTAGACACCTTTTATAAACTAGAATACATATTACATATTGGATGTGTGGGGAATGGGGTAGCTACTTTATTTAATAGCCTTGTATGCAGTAAAAAAAGGAAATAAATACTAACCATAGAAACTACCAAGATTTTGCGACCATATCAACTAGGTCTTAAAGATCAAATTCATTAAATAAAGTGAGAATAAAAGTAAAATATTTACCATCTATGGAGAAGGTTTCATTGCGCCCGCTTCTTAACGCTGCCATTGTTTCTATTTCGATTCTGGAAATAAAGAAAATAATATTTGTAAAGTATGGTCCTTCGAGCCGGATAAAGAAAGTATTTGCTATAATGCAATGCACTAAGGTAGTTGACCAATTGACTGTCCAAACGTGATTTTTCCATACTACTAACCTTGTGAATCTAAATGCATCTAGGCTAAGTTTTATTAAGTAATTTTATTCTTATTCTTATACATTTTATACCTCAATAAGAATCGGGATTCACATGTGACCGAAAAGTGATTGAGTTTTTGAGGTTAGAATGAAGTCTTAGAGAATGCCTTTAGAATTACTGATCCAAGTCATATTGGACCTGTAATTCCGAAGATATTCTCTAAATGAGGGTTTTCGCGTATGAAAAATCCGCCAGATGGCAATACGTAGACGCGACGTCCACATGCTGCATGATTGGTTATTTTTGACATGACATTGACAGAATGTCAAAATCCACCAATCACGCAGCAGTCAGACCCCACATCCATGTCCCGCCATCTAGCGGATCTTTCATACGCGAAAACCCTTATTGCTTTGAAATATTTCGAAGTTTAGGCTTACTTGTTAACACTCTCGTGCTGGCCGGAGTATCTGTGCGGCAGGCCGTCGTACTCCGCTAATGACGTTGTCAGATGCGCCGGCGGCGACGTGAGCGGCGATCGCGGGGGCGAAGCGCCCGGCGACGCCTCCGCGCGGCTTTTGTCGGGCTCCACCCACTTCTTGTCGGCTGTCTTGGAGCGCGGCTTGCGCTGAATCTTGCGGTTGGCAGCCGATATTATTGAAGATACGATGTCGCGGGTTGATACGTCTTTACCTGAAAGTTTTAATTCGTTAGGCAGTTGCTAATGGTTTCTGTATACTAATAAGAACATACTGGTACATGCTTAAAAAAGGTCGGCAGAGTGGCCTAGTCGTAGGGTATTATCTTGCACAATAAAAACATTTGTGTGCCTGAACATAACTGAACCGAGACTATAATTTTGGTAACGTCCTTTTTCCGACTAGTCTGAAATTGTTTATGTTGTTAACAAAAGTTTGCAAGCTTTAGGCCTTTTTTTTTTTTTTTTTTTTTTTTTTTTTTTTTTTTTTTTTTTTTTTTTTTTTTTTTTTTTTTTTTTTTTTTTTTTTTTTTTTTTTTTTTTTTTTTTTTTTTTTTTTTTTTTTTTTTTTTTTTTTTTTNTTTTTTTTTTTTTTTTTTTTTTTTTTCGACTGGAAAATGCATGAAACTGCATACTCACCGGCCCGGGGGAGCCGATGAGTTATGTGGGACTCTCCTCGCCTGAAGGGCAAGGCCTACCCACTAAAAACCAGTCGGGTCCCTCTGGTCGCGCTTAGTGGGGCAGCGTACGAGTCGGTGAATCGTTCGCATGCCTGCCCCCACGCATCGGCCGCAGCCTCGCTCTACAGACCCCTTCAAGGGGTCATCTCTCCAAAGCACGCGGGGACTCCGCGCGCACTTCGGGCCTCAGTGTTAGGAAGCGGACGCCCCCGCGTCCACCTCCATGAGGCTAGCCGTTCGGCCGGGCCCAGAAAGCACCGGTTTCGACTTCTGCTGCGGCTGAGGGCAATCTTTTGTCCCCAGCGTGTGGTCCGCTGCCTTTCCTACCGCTGAGCAAAGTAGACAGTGGGGTTCATTGGCGGGACACTCCTTCCTCTGGTGCCCAGGCTGACCGCATCGGAAGCAGAGTGCACTGCGGTCGCTGACGTTGGCAGCGCATTTGTGAGCAACATGCCCATCGCCCCAACAAGACACACACCTCAAAGGTCTCGGTTTTAGCAACGTAATTTGCACCGAGGCCCATCCTACAAGTAGCCGACGTAGACTTGCCAGCTGTTTCGCCGTTTTCGACGGCACCCGCGCGATGACACTGCGGGTGTCCCGGGTTCCGCTTATTTTACCCACTTTAATCTGTTCTAGTGGGCACCCAGTTTTGATGGAAATAGCCGTAGCAAGTTCCGACTGTTCGATAGATTCATCCAAACCGGACAGTCGGATGTCTTCACTCTTTATCGGTCGCCTTATAGTGACCATTTCCGCTGTGAAAGCGGGGACATCACGGAGGGCAGCAGCCAGCCTATCCGCCTTCTCCTCCGCGTGTGGACCAGAAAGGACGAGGAGCTTCGCGGCCGTTAGGCCTGATTCAACCAAACTTTTATCCGAGATTAACTCCTGGTATAACTGGCACATTGACAGTTTCAGTATAGGAAATATGTCAAAACGTCAGTTAATTAGACAAGAGTAAATTATATTAATCTCAAAATAAACCGTCAGATTAATATTTACTCTAAAATTATAAGATTAACTGTAAAATGTTGGTGGATTCCCCCTTAACTTTCTTAAAACTTTAAATAACATTTAGGAGACTATAACTGTTCCTAGACTGCTATAGCCTGCTGACGATGAGCTTACCTTCAATTTTCTTAACATTATGTATGAGCAGGTCGCGCGAGGGCGCCGGCGCGGGCGACAGCTCCTCGGCCGACGGCGGCGGGTCGTGCGGCGGGTCGCCTTCCTCCTCCTCGAAGTACCAATCGTACTGCAATACCAAACCAATCTCATCAGTATAAGTCTACCTATAACTTCATATAGTGTATCATAGATTTAAAAGATAGAGATAAAGAGTCTAAAAACCTTTGGCTTTATCAAAACTAAAAAAAACTCATTAAAACTCATTTATTTCTGTAAATAGGCTTAAAAAATGCACTTTTACACGTCCCAGTCACCCCTACCCTACCACTGCTTCAGGACAATAAATGGGCCAGTGCTGAGAAGAAGCAGCGCAAGAAACTCAGTCACTATTATCCACTTTGCGATTTGAGTTTAGCTACCATATACACTAGCGGATTGCAAGCGGATTCAAAGCGGAGCGGCGACGCGGCGGGTAAGCTGCGGATACGCAACATTTCCGCCTAGAGATTTCGCCTCATTTTTTCCTTCGCTCCGCTTTGAAAACGCTTGTAATCTGCCAGTGTGGCAAAGCCCTAAGATCCTGTCACTCGCTAGTGGCGCCGATTGACATGCTGTATACGAGCTGTCAAAACACGTTTTAATAGTAACTTGACGTCACATTCTCAACTCAATCGAGCATCTAATTTATCGCTTTCAAAGCAACAAATGATTCAGTCAATTGAAAACCTGACAGGTTTTCAGAGCTAGAATAAGGCTGCGTTTCCACCAGAGATGTGCGTGGATGCTTAGAGAGGGATGTGTTTATAAAGAACCAGTAGAATCGCTTCATATGCGAGGCAAATCTTTGGTGGAAACGCAGCCTTAAGTGGTTTTAATGAGTTGTGTCTCGATAAGTAAGTATCGACTATTTAGTGGCAACATACGATTTGTCTCATAATGATTGGATAATGGTCAATTATAGATTGGCAAAGCAACTTACATGCGTCAAGAAGGACTCGATGATGCGGCACTGGCTGGACATATCATTGACCATGGCGAGCATGTCATCGCTCGCGGCTCGCACAAGAGTCGGCCCGAACACAATGGCCAAGTTGCGTGCCTCCATCTTGTTATGCGGCGCCAGCGCCACCACGCGGCGTAGGTGCTGCACTAAGTACTTTAGTGTCTCGTAGTGCGCGTCCGGTAGTGCGCGCACTAACCGCCGTAGTTGACGCGCGCGCTCTGGTGACCGGTCCGCCGCTGCGAAGAGAAAAAATAAAATCAATTACTATGTCATAGGGACGTGAGATATTGGTTGACAGTGATTAAAGGTAGCCTTTCGAACTAAGCGTCACAGACGCAGCGTCTTTAGCTTTGGTCTTAAAGGTAGTCTTTCGAAGCGAGTAAGTGACGCGGCGTTGGTGGCACAAGACCAAAGTTATATACGCTGCGTCTGTGACGATTAGTTTGAAAGGCTACCTTAAGGGTCACAGACGTAGCGTCTTTACCTTTGGTCTTAAAGGTAGTCTTTCGAAGCGAGTAAGTGACGCGGCGTTGGTGGCACAAGACCAGGGTTCGAAAATATCCGATATTTATTATAAATATCAAAATATCGGATATTTATGATATATATCCGATATATATCAACTTTGATATATATCAAACTAGCGGCCGCCCGCGACTTCGTACGCGTGAATCCCGTTTTTCCCGCTAATTCCCGTTCCCGTGGGAATTTCGGGAATTCCTTTCTTAGTGCATCTCTACGGTACCTAAGCTACGTCCCTTCCAAATTTCAAGTGCCTACGTTTAGCCGTTTAGGCTGTGCGTTGATCTGTCAGTCAGTCAGTCAGTTTCTCCTTTTATATATTTAGATTTGTATGAAAGCCATATTATTTTATTGTATTATTTATGAATACCATTGCATATGTGTTACATAAACATGTTTTTAATGTTTTTATTTATTTATTTATTTATATTATTTAAAACTTAAAATCAGACAAATAAAGCAAAAACATTAAATCTTCATGTAAACACGGCAAAATCAACTAAAAAACAAAAATCTTATGTCAAAAAGTACAAAAACAGTTACAAATTTTAAAAATTGATATATATCATCAAAACCGGCTGGATATATATCGGATATATATCCGATATATATCAAGATATATATCCCTTGATTATATCCTCGAACCCTGCACAAGACCAAAGCTAAAGACGCTGCGTCTGTGACGCTTAGTTCGAAAGGCTTCTTCTTTTTCAGCCAAATGACGTCCACTGTTGGACAAAGGCCTCCCCCAAGGTTTTCCACGAAAGGCTACCTTAAGTGAAAACCTTTTTTCACTCAGTCCCTTGACTTAGCTTTGTTATGCTCGTTAAGAGGCTCTCGTTCAAGTCCAGTTAGGTGTACTCAGCTTCTGAGCTTAACAGTCTTTTCCATGGGGGGCAAATAAGATCTTTTTAGGTTTCCTGCGCTTAGATATTTAAGGATGAAAGTACCATTTCCCAGGGAGGTAGCTGCGTCTCCATGCCATCCTCATCGCTCATGCATGCACTGGTATTGGCTGAGAAGATGTCATTGTTGGTCTAGATCTCGAGGCGGTAACTCTGTTGTCTAACGTCATACACTCACCAACTCACCAATAAGGCGTTGGCCTTGAGAAGTGACGAGGCCCAGTGTGCGTCTCCCGCCGGCGGGGGCTCACTACGATCCAGAGCCGCCGTCGCGTGAAATGACTACGTTCATAGTATTAAAGGGCCGGTAGATCTATTCTCATAAATAAAACACTGGATACTCATCTTTCACATTATATTGCCTTATTTTAAATACAATTCATCACTTAGCACAAAAGCGCGCGGAGTCATCTCCGCGCGTCCCTCTATTCTGACGTTTGATTCTCGTGTGACATTGACAATACGTTAATGTCACTATGACAGCAGCTCATTGGCTATAACGATACCGCTATTTTAACGTTTTAGATTTTTCATAATTAACAATAGACACTCACCAATAAAAGCTGGGTAGAGCTCAGCAGTGAGTAGTGGGTCGGGTAGCCGACGCAGGTAGGCCTTCAGTAATGACGAGGCCACGTGCACGTCGGCCCAGCGAGCGTCTCCCGCCGGCGGGGACTTCGCGATCCAGCGCCGCCGTCGCGTGAAATGACTACGTTCATAGACACTCACCAATAAAAGCTGGGTTGAGCTCAGCAGTGAGTAGTGGGTCGGGTAGCCGACGCAGGTAGGCCTTCAGTAGTGATGAGGCTACATGTACGTCGGCCCAGCGAGCGTCGCCCGACGGCGCGGGCTCGCCGCGGTCTAACGCCGCCGTCGCGTTACATATGACTGCGTTCATAGACACTCACCAATAAAAGCTGGGTTGAGCTCAGCAGTGAGTAGTGGGTCGGGTAGCCGACGCAGGTAGGCCTTCAGTAGTGATGAGGCTACATGTACGTCGGCCCAGCGAGCGTCGCCCGCCGGCGCGGGCTCGCCGCGGTCTAACGCCGCCGTCGCGTTACATATGACTGCGTTCATAGACACTCACCAATAAAAGCTGGGTAAAAAAAACACGAAAATAGTTATGAAAAGGAGTATAGCAGAAAATATGAGTTGTTTGAAGAAACTTTGTATGGATAATTTTCGTAAATTACTCCATTTTCTTCCATAAACTTTGAATTTTTAATAAATTTCAATATCTAATTACTACGTGTGATATGTCATTGGAAAGAAGAGAAGGTAGAGATATTTTTAAGATCATTGGCAATCCATTATCACCATTAGTTTTTTCTTAAATCGAAATCGAATTTGAATTTTTTATCGTGGTTTGTACTTTTGTTGAACTTTGGCGGCTCGTAACTAGTTATTGAATCATTATCTAGATCTGAAATTTATTTTATTTGACTAAAGGTTTATTCGATATTAGTATCAAATAAAAAAATCGGTTAAAATCATGCGAGAAAAAAAAATTAAGCAGTTTTTAGGTCAAATTTCGGGAAAATCTGAAACAAGTATAAAAATTGTCATATCTCCTAAACTATGAAACTTTAGTCATAGAAAGTAAGGTTCAATAATTAGCAAATGACCTCCTCTATACGCGTATTAGCTATGGCGGGTTCAGTTCCAGTCACCCTGTATAAACTAATTTACATACTTAAAGATCCCAGAAAGATCTCTGGGATATGTGATAATAACAGTAATTATTAAATAAGTGAGTGTGAGTGAGCTGAAAAAATATACTTCTATGACACATTATTACGACCGCAGTCTGTGGAGGAACACTATCTGTGGTCGCGATCCTCATCAGTGAGGGACCGAGGAAGAAGAATGACTCATTACGAGGTTTCTGTATCTGTTTTTGTACCAACGTTTTTGAACTGTAGGAAATATTGGTGGTCGCTGTGCCAACTTGTTCTTACCTTCATTTGTGATAATTCAAAGAAATTCTACTAAAAGTATGACAATAATAATATGGTTCTGCAGAAAGTACCAAGAAAATGAAATAAATTCTGGCTAGATTAAACCAATAAAGTTACATTTTTATTTATTTTATTTATTTATTTATTAATAGGTAAGTATAGTTACAGTACATAGAATACTACTTACTTAGTAAAAATACAGCTACAAATCACTTACAAATCTATGGACCAATTACAACTGCACACAACTATGCCTTTCTATGAAGTATTTATAAAACATCTTAAGCAACAAGTGGGTAGCAAACAAACATTATACTTCGGAAGCGCTCATTAAATTACCCAGATATACGTAAGGCTCGGTGCACACGGTCGGCCGCGGTGATTTATGCGACGACGCGCGATAAGGGGCGATGATATTCGAGCCGTGTGCACTAGGGCCGTACGCTAAATTGGATGTGCCTGGAAGATAGATGGAACGTAACACAAGCCTATACGAGTATGTTAGTGTTCGTGCTGGTTCCACTTCTAGAAGTATTTTAGATGCCGGAATGCATTATGATACGTCAACACGTCTATCTCATTAATAGTTTTTTTAAGATCTGGAAGTCTCCATTTGTGTCTGGTAAATTAGAGAGGATCGTGTCTGCAGTGGAGACTATGTCCTGATGATGATGAGGAAAATTATAAGTATTTTCCTTATTTAAATTCTCCATATATTTAATTTCTTAGGCAGACATGAAATTTCGAGAGGTGCATACATAACGTTATTTGAAAATACTCAAATATTGCATCAAAATATCTGATTTCAAGTAGTTAACGCACCAGTGCTTCAGCTACGCACTAATTTGTGCAGAGAGCGCGCACAAGTGATAAGAGGCAAGCAGCAGTGTGCACGTTGCACTAGATGACTGAGCTCGCAGTGGGACCCATTCTGAATCTTTTTTCTAAATTGAAAGTCTTCCCTTACAGCTGTCAAAAGGAGTCCCATACTTAACATTCGCAATCAGTATGAATATTTAAAATTAATAAAGCTCGTGTAAAACATTTATGGTTGACATAAGATTGGATCTGTCCGTTAACCCTACGGTGGTCGCGCTCTAAAATATTACGTTAATGGTCGCGCGGATTACATGCGTAAGCCATTTTATGGAGTAAAAAAAGAAGACATCTCTTTATAAAAACATGTTTCTTTATTTTTTACATTTATTGTTATGTATTAGTTAATGAAATAATCAAACAAAGAAACGAGCAGTTCTTCTCAGTTTTTATAAATTAACCAAACATAAAAATCATCATTTTTCATCAAGAAAATGTCAACGTTGGCAGTTTAGAAATTATTCAGTAGGTACTAATTGCACTTATTTATTAATTATATTTTGAACAGAAGATACAGGCCATCATGGAATGATAAGGACAAATAAATTTGTTGCACGAATTACAAGTATTTCCAGTACTTTGATTTCGCTTTCTTCCGCAGTCAAAGTAGCGACCTAAAAAACTCCGCTGTGATGGTTCTGAGTTAGATGGCTAATCACTGTTCTGAGAAACTTGTTCTCTTGTGGAAGAATGTGCACTTCTTCATCAGAAATCGAAGAGTCGCCAGAAGATACGCTTTCATAGTCAATTACTTCTAGCCATTCTGCAATTTGTGCTTTTTGTCTATTGTTCATGATTTTTATCTGAAATACAATGATTTTATTGAAAACACAAATGTAAATACGTACCTATGCCGTAATTATTTATTATAAAGCATTAATTTACACTAATAATGCAAAAACAAACACATTAAGTAAAAAAGGTAACTTAAAAAATACTTACGTAATTGGTCGCGCGGATTACACGCGTAGACCATCGGCATTTACGGGGCTCCTGTGACACATCCACAAGCGACATGGCGCTCACACGTCATTAAGTGTGATCTTCGACTATACAACTTAAAGTACACGAAGTATCAAAACGATCGCGTTGACCGATTTCAAAATATTCGACAATTTGCACGAGTGGATTACGGGTGTAATCCGCGCGACCACTGTAGGGTTAACCGGCGATTATGTGGACAGCCAAACCGTAACTATGAACATGAAATGATAAACATAGCCGTCACCGTGACAGTCAGAAATATTTCTCTTTTACACTTTTATAAAAAGAAAAAAGAGAGACAACGTAGTACTTATTTTTAACTATAGTGAGACAACCTGAATACGGTGAAAAAAATCACCCGTGCGCGCGCGCCTTTACGTGACTGCGGAAAAAAGAGGGTAGTTCTGCAGCACATTCCAACGGTGCGCAATTTGCGTCGTGCAGTAGTTAGTTAGTGCGGTTCGAGACGTGCTACGGATAGCATGTTACCTATATTGTCTTCGCGTCATTTTTTTGGTGAAGAACTGTACCTTGTCGGTTTACACTTACTTGTAAGCGTTAGCTATGAATTAATTTGAAAGCAAGGCAGTGGTTGTATTACCGGGCTATTTAGTGTTAATTTATGTGTAAGTTAATTTGTTTCATCTTTTTTATAAGAAATAGTTAACTCGCTCAGTGCTATGTTGTGGGTGTATTCCGTGTGTTTTGTGAGTGATCGTTTTCAAGTGATTTCTTTGGAAAACATCCGGATCGTTGACTTAGGACGGCGGCTACGCGGTTGGAGTCGCATGGCGGCGCGGCGGTTAGCAGATTTCTTCGATTTTGATCAAGGTACGTGCTTATTTATTAGAGGTTTGATTATTTTCTTTAATGTATTTTTTGTGTGTTGTTTCTTGTATTATTTGATTATTTTAATGTTATATAGCGTATTATTGCTACCGCTCTCTCCAACAATGGCTTCCGCAGAATAACAGCGTCATGTTCTGGGTTCTACTACCTCAGAGCACGACACATGCTAAGTGGTAGCCATTTTTGGTTCTAACTCCCTTTAATCCAACTGCGTTATTGATATTTTTTATTTGTGTTCGAACCAAAATAAAAGTATTTCTTTTTTTATTTAAGCCAGTACTACATTCCACTACAGCCTACCGTTACTTAGGCATGAATATTACAAGTATTTCAATTTATAATAATTTTGAATGCGATTTTGTAGTAGGTACCTAATCAGAATCGAACCCCGTACTAAAGTTCACGGTACTGTGCGCACTAGATCGCCGGTCATTAATAGCTCGCATCGTACGACTAATTGGATGCCCACTCTGAATCAAATGATAATGGCTGATTTTTATTTATTTATCTTTATTAAAGAAACATTTTGTTTTATTTGAGGTGCAGGTAGGTACTTATTTTATGTGTAGCAATAATATTACAGAGGATTAAACCTTCTTTACTTTGCTTTTATCAGAAAAGTAGGTATATAAGATCCACTTATTGATGCTTGTTTTTCTGGTTGTTTATAGGTAAACTTCGACGCTATTATAGGTGAGAGTTGTTGTAGGTAAGTCTATCGTGTGTAATTGATACCTATAGCACTAAAACTATTTGTTTATCAACATTTATCATTCATCACCATCATCATCATTTCAGCCACAGGATGTCCACTGCTGAACATAGGCCTCCCCCAATGACTTCCACATCACACGGATGGTAGCGGCCTGCATCCAGCGCCTTCCTAGTACCTTTTTAATTCAAAATAAGTTAGGATTAAGTATTCGTAGAATTTATTTCTGTGCATATACGATCGATTCAGCAGTAAGTAGTTTATTGTTGAAACTTGAAGTTAAACCAGAATGCTTTTATTACATTAGAAATAATTAGAATTAGGGGTTTTATGTAGTTCCACTCAATGATTTTTCCACAAGTTACATAACATCACATACTAAAAAGCAGTTTCCGAAGCCCAAAAAAAACGAAAAGTTTTCATTTCCTCGACTGCGTCACAACGAAGGAAGTTGAGCAAATGCAAGTGTTTCTGTGAAATAAGTAAAGAGAAAAAAACCGAAACCCATCTCCTATGCTGGGAAAGTGTTAAGAGTGTTTACACGGCGCGGGCTTGCACGTGTTACGATATTTGACGTGGTCGTAGAGTGTCCTCATAATTATAGTATATCCTCTAAGTCACATAAACATTTCAAAATAGTGATAAGTCAACATGTACCTACCTAATCATTTCTGTTATATTTTATGATCCAACTAATTGTCAGATATCTAAGTTACTATTACCTGAAGTCCTGAAATAAATACAGGATTTTCCTTGTGCTCACCTAAACACAGCCTTCGATTTTTGTAATTTTTTCTTGTAAAGTGGTACGTATTCGTTTAATTTTACCGAATTCATTCATTGCCGAAAACCCTGTTGTTAGATGTTGCGTGGCTCAGTAGATTTTTAATGTCTTATTTCTCTGCGCTTTGTCACCATTGCATCATTCGTTTCAGCCAAATGACGTTCCTACTGCTGGACAAAGGCCTCCCCAAAAATTTTCACTACGAGCGGTCGTGCGCCGCCCGTATCTAGGCACCTTCCGTGACCTTCTTCACCAGACTAGTTCACCTAGTGGGGGCCCGCCCACACTACGCCTTCCGGCCCGTGGTCGCCACTCGAGAACTTTTACACCATCGTCACGTGTAAACCCTCGCTGCATCGACGTGTATGCATACAGGATGCAAAGTTATCTGCGTCGTAAAATGGGACACGCTGTATAAAGAAATAACTTGCCGGCGCCAGCGTCTGTGCGGAATTGTTCTGTACATTACCGTTTAGTCAGGAGTTTGTGTCGGGTTTGGTGATCAAGGACCGAGTGAATAAAGTCGAGTGAAAACTTTATGGACCTTTGAAGATCTCCGAATGCTTTGTAAAGTAATGTTTGTCCCGAAAATAAGTAAATAACTATACACAACTGCGAGTAACCGTTGCATTCAATCTATACTTATTGATACTTCTATACTAATATTATAAATGCGAAAGTAACTCTGTCTGTCTGTCTGTTTTGCCTTCACGCCTAAACAACTAAACCGATTTTGATGAAATTTGGCATAGAGATAGTTTGAGTCCCGGAAAAGGACACTGGACAGTTTTTATCCCGATTTTTGAAACAGGGACGCGTGCGATATAGTTTTTCTGTGACAGACAAAAGTTTTATTTTGAAAGCTATAAGTAGTAGTTAATAAATAGCTTTTTAGTAAGATAATGTAACATTAAGTTACTGTTAGGATCATGAATACAATAATAAACTAACTTGCAACTAGCTAGTATGGGAATGTATGCTTTTGTCCTTGTTACAGCTTGTTTAGCCATTATAAGTTTTTTTTAAGACTTTAATGACGTAAGTAAAGGTCATTTACGACTGAGAGTTTATGTAAGCTACGGTTCGTCATAATACCTAACCTGTTTTTTTATTGATGCAAAACTTAGTCCAATACAATACAAGCAGCCCACTAGTGGGCGTGCTTGGTTTTGAGTAAAACTCCACATGCATGAACATGGCTTTAATGCAAAATGCGTCTATCAAAAACTAAACTATAATAACTTGTCATAATTTCCCAGTTATTATTGAGACGAATCGTAGGTCTTTGCGGAGACCAGCTGGACATGATACGCTTTGGTTTGAAATAAACTCCACATGCATGAACATGGCTTTAATGCAAAATGCGCCTATCTGCCCCGAGTTACCAACAAACTAGGTCCTCAAGGAAGTTTCCCAATCGTGTCACCCGTGCACAGTAAATCAAAGCTGTTGTCTGGAGTGTAGGCGGCTATCGGTGGAAGTGGTCAGGCGGCCATTGTCCGCAGTCGGAAGAGCTTGGCCTTCGCTTCACGAGGCATTCAATAGAAGCCGTTTGGTCTAAGGCAGAAGCGAAGTTAGACGGTTTTTTTTAAAGGCAGATTCGTTCGTTCGTTTCAGCCAAATGACGTCCACTGCTGGACAAAGGAATCCTCCAAGGATTTCCATAACGACCGGGCGTGCGCTGCCCGCATCCAGGCTCTTCCCGCGACCTTCACCAGAACAACAACAACAAGGCAGGTATTTGACCGCAATCGCACCTGATGTTAAATGAGATGCAGCCTAGGATGGTACATATCTGCCCTGTAAGTGCCTATTAACTGTCGCCTTGAAAAGGCCCCGATTATAGTGTTCGGGAACAGCAGCAGGCAGCGAATTCCAGTCCTTAGCTGTTCGCATTATAAAGAGTTTGTTGCAGCACTTCTTCTTAGTGCTTGTCAAATGTTTGTCTTGAAGCGCTTTTAGTCCTTTGAGCACTTGCCATATGTTTGTCTCAAAGCGTTGGTAGGGCAAAAGAAATTTATGAGACTTTTTAATTACTAAACAAGCTATTTTTATGCCATGCCTATATTTTATCAGATTTTTGAACTAAGCATTATACTAATCAGTTATTGCGCATGCTCTTACTACTTCTTCAAATAACTTAACGTAACTTTTTAATAATAATTATTTTGAGTAAAAAGAGATTCATCAAATCCTTTTTCTGGTCCTTCACTCACACCACACCATATTTTTAATTTGTTTAAACTTAATCGACTTGACTTCCCCAACTTTCTATCTGAACCACTCAATGTGACCCAAATCGTATCGTTTCAGTATACGCCTAAATCCTATCCCAAAACACACGAAGCTATGCCTCACCCGATGGTGGGTTCAGAAGTCTGATATCCCTTTACACATGAAATATGCCTCGCTACGTGCCTGTCGCTGCCTGCGCGTAGGCAAATGCTTACAAACATAATAAAAGTTAGGTATCCCCTAGGAACAATGCTGATCCGCACTACCGTTATAAGAGAGACGGAGACAATTTAACTGATAACTGACACATGGTTTGAATGGATTTAAAAAAAAAAGTCTTGCAAAAGTGCAGTCAAAACTTTATTTTTTAAAACTATTAAAATCAATGAAACTAATTAGGTATTTATTTTGCCGTTATGTATCTGCCATGAGTACCTGAAAAATGAGTCCCTC